AGAACCAGGCCTGGGTCCATTTAGCAAGCACACTGAGGCCAGCTGCTGCTTGTTTGAGAGATTTTAGGCAAGTCTGAAGCCTGAGTCAGGACAGGACATTTATATGGAAAAGCCACTGCAAATAACTTGGGTGGTGCTGAAAATTGGGTGGGGCAGGGTCTCAGGGCAGGGCGAACGGTGTGGGCCAGGTTGATGAAGACTCAGATATGGCAACTGCATATTGGCATTATGGCAGGGAGGTCTCAGCAAAGGACCAATGACCTCTACCAGCACTTTTGTCTGGGAGAAAGATGCCCCCCATTCTTGCCCTGATGCCAGACAATTTAATTCCTCCCTGTATGTCCCTGGATCTTTTCAAGCTCCTGCCTTAGTGCTGGAGCTCAGCGTGAGTGAGTTTAAATCCATGAGCTGGTCCTTCAAGAGGAATGCCTGGAAGTCCAACAACCCTCAGTGACCCTGAGATACAATCCTCATTGGGTTTTATAGCCCAAAGTTACAGGGGCTTCTCTTCCTTGCACTGAAACACTGGACTGTGGGGTTGGTTATAGGGCTAGGACCCCTGCTCCTCACAGGGACCTTTGCAGCCAAGATATCTCTCCCGATTAAAAAAAAAAAATGCCACACATGAGTGCCAGGCCAGCTCATTCAGCACCTCTGCCCCTCCTACCAGCTTCAATGTGACTTCTTTACTTCTCTGGTTGTAGGATTCCCATTCATCCAGATTTCAGGTGGTTTTGAATGATGGTTGTTCTATAGCTTAGTTGTAATTTTGATGTGGTTGTTGGAGGAGCCAGAGCCATGTTTATTCATGCCACCATCTTGGCCCTCCTCCTCTCTGTGGTTTTAATTTTAATTCTAAAAGTCTTCAGCATGAATATTCTGGAAGTTGTAAGGAAACAATGATGTCTTCTCATGAAAGACTTTCTTGCTTTTTATTTCTCTTTCTCGTCTCCTAATTATACATTAGCTTTTTCTATCCAGTTTTGATTCTCTATTTTTTCTCTCCTCCCCTATGCCTACACTCCATCTTCATTCTTTAGTCAAAAGTATTTCTTCTTATTATTGAACAGAATTTTCTAACCCTTGCTTTTACTTTTAAAAGTTGAAGAGTGAAAGAACTTAAATCCCTATTTTTTTTGAAGTCATACAACTAAAGCCATTTAAAAAAAAATCTATGTAGAAAAAAATTTCCCCACTAATGCAAACACATACACATATGCTGTGAGTATTAACAAGGTAACATGCCAATTATATTATTCGAAATAATGTCCATTGGACTCATTCATTTCTCATCATGGCTGAACTGAAGTTAAAGAGCTAAGATCTTTAAGAAATTTAAAAAATAAAAATAAATAAAAATTAAAAAAGAAATAAAAAGAAAAAGAAATCAACAAAGTGAGCTCTTAAGGAATCACAATTTTTTTTTTAAAGTGTTACATCAGTGACCACATTTTAGCAGAATGCACAGGTGAGTACATGTAGAAAGATCTTGATCTACTTTCTCAAGTAAGAGTCAGGTTGGGAGCCAACAATAAACGTAAAGAATTCAAAGTTTGTGTGTCAGCAGTTGCATCACCAGGCAGAATTTTCACTTAGCAAAACAGCTCTAAATTCTTGAGCACACTGTCTTATGCAGAAAACATTTCTATTCTATTTTGTGTTTTGTTGAGACCTAACCATGTTTATAGTTATCTCCAAGAGTGTTGGTAATTCCATTTTGGAAGAGAGGATGAATGTTACTAATTCTTCAGTAAAAGCAAATAATTTATGTCTAGCTCTAAGTCCCTGTGCTAAGTGTTGGGAATGAAGACAGGACATAATTTCCTGCTCTTAAGGGACTTATATTTCACTGGACAATGAAAAGGTGGGAAATATATGAAAGACTTATTTTTAAACAATATGTTAGTTATATTTTCAAATAATATGCTCAACCTCTCTCTCAAATAACATGCTCAACATATTTTTCTTCAACTTCCAAAAATAAATCCAGGAGTAGGGACTGAGGGGGATGAGATGCAGTACGCACACTAGTTTGCCTGTATATCCAGACATTTTGAGATATTAACACTGGTAGCATATTAACAATTTATCTTTTATTTCCTGAGTTTTGCTCCCCACTGATTGATGAGATAGCAGAGATCTCTAAAATTATATATAATAATACACGTGGCAACTATTGATAACAGGTGCAGCTACATCGAGATGTTTGGGAATTACAGAACAACACTGCAGCCAGTGGTGCCTGGGCCTCTGGACCCTGCCAGGAATATGATCTTGTCATAGACACTTACACATGCCCCCTAATGAGCCACATTTGATAGGAGCCAATGAGAACACTAAAATAGATCTCAGCATACAGCCCAGGGACCATTCTCAAAATAGTGCTATGGTGGACTGCACTCATCCTAGCAGGACATGAGTAGTAGGAGGTTCTGCAGAGTGAGGTGGGCAGGCTTCCTTAAGGAACGTGGGCAAAGTACACACATGGTAAAAAGCTAACTACAGCTGAAACCGGTTTGGCTCAGTGGTAGAGCGTCGGTCTGCGGACTGAAAGGTCCCAGGTTCGATTCTGGTCAGGGGCATGTACGTTGGTTGCGGGCACCAACTGGTAGGGGGTGTGCAAGAGGCAACTGGTCGATGTTCCTCTCTCATTGACATTTCTAGCTCACTATCTCTCTCCTTTCTTCTCTGTAAAAAATCAATAAAATATATTAAAAAAATAAAATGTTTAAAAAAAAAAAAAAAGCTAACTACAGAGGAGGTATTGGTATTGCCAGGCTCTGCTATAGTCTGAGAATCCTCAGGATCCTACCCATCCCCCTTGGGGGGGGCGCGGGGCAAAAAAGAAGACTGAGGGACCCTCAGGGCCTCCTTGGAGAACACTCCCTTTCCTAATAGATTATTGTCAAGGTTCAGGGAGAAGGTGTTGGGTCCATGATCTCCCATCCTGGATTCAGGACTCCAAGTCAAAGGCTCCAACTTAAGGAGGGGCCTATTGCCACTCTCTGGACAACTCCCAGGCCATCTAGGTTTTCCTTCTCTCATTCTTCTTCATTAAATACTGGAAATAAATAATCCATGGGTGAAAAGAAGGATGTTTCTCAAAGATATTACTGTTGACTTTACCCCGAAGGAATGGAATATTCTGAACACTGCTCAGACAGAGCATCCTGAGGGGTCACAAGGATCCAGACCTTTGGGGGCAGACTGAACTACCCTGTGAATGAGGGCCTAGCCTCCAGTCATTGACTAAGAACTATGAAATATGCACCTGAGCTATGGGTGCACATTTGGTGAATTGTGTTTTTGCTCTTTATTTGCCAGGGAAAAGTTTTATTTTCAAATCAAGTTTATTAGAATATAATTTATATATATATATATATATATATATATATATATATATATATATATATATATAAATTGTACCCATTTAAAGTATACAGATTGATGAGTTTGGAAAGATGTGTGCACATGTGTCACCCTAACCACAATCAAGTTAGAACATTGCCATCACTCCCCAAAGTTCCTTGGGATACTTTCCAGTCACACCGGTACCCACCACCTTGCCCTCAGGCAAGCACGGGTTTACTTTCCATGACTATAGATTAGTTTTGCTTTGTCTAGAACATCAAATAAATGGAACCGTACAGTATTGCCGGGGCTGACCAGCATTCCCCGAACAAAGGATGAACAGATTACTCTGACACGGTTTCACTGTTGGGGAGAGGGCAAAGGAGCTTGCCTGGCTCAAGGGTCCAAGCAGCCTGGATTGCCTGCCTCTTTAGCTTTTATTGGAATTTTTATCTTTACGTACAATCAGTAGGGTGAGTAATCTTGGGAGGACACATGTGTTTACATTGTCCTCTAGGCAAGCGCCTCCAGGGATTAAGCATAAGGATTCCAATAATCACAAAGGGGTCTGCATGTGCACAGACTTGTTTGGAAAGGTCAAGGAATAATTAGGGGCGCTGCCTTCAAAACTCCCCTAAGTCTCCCTTAAGTGGGAATTCTGATAAACAGGCAGGCAGCTTTCCACACACTTCCCTTTTCTCAGAATGTCCTCCTTACAGACGTTCCAAGCAAGTATCATGTGCTCCCCAACATAGTATGCCACCTTTGAGTCTGGCTTCTTTTATTTAGTTTAATGCTTTTTACATTTATCCATGTCATTACATGTTTCAGAAGTTCCATCCTTTTTCTTGCTGAGTAGTAGTCTGTTGTATGGATAATTTACCCATTTACCCTGTTGATGGACATGTACGTTGTTTCCAGTTTTGACTCTTATGAATGAAGTTGTGAACGTTCATGTATAAACAAAACAAATTCTGTAGCTCTAGCAAGTTCAATAGACAGAACAGATTGGCAGGTGATAAAGAGAGGAATCAAGTAGTTGAGCTGAATTCTGAAGAGCAACTGGTTTTATAAAAAGCAGCTATAGCCAAAGCTGATGGGGATGGAGGGGTGGGGAAGGGGGAGGGGAAGAGCCTGTATTGAGCAGAGAGGACTGCTGATCAGGCATCTTTCAATTGCATGGGAAAATGGATTGCTAAATCATTAGCAGGACAGAATAATACATGCACTTAGGCATTTTCTTTTGACATGGGCTAGAATTAAGCCAATACTGGTAGACTCAAACTTTTCCTTGCTACTTCTTCAGGATATCTTTGAAGCCTGTCAGGCAGCATGGACAAAGATCTCCATTTCCAGAGTTAGAAAGACAACTGGTTATGGGACCTTGAGAAAGGATAGGTAACCTTGGCAATGAGCATAAAAAGACTGCCTATCTTAAGGGCTGTTAGAAAGATTAGATGAGAATCTATATAAATCACTTAGCAAGTGTTTAATGACTAAGGAGAGCTCAGTAGGCATAAATTACAGTACTTAAAAATCATGTGATCCCATTGACTTAAGTAGAATCCAAATATATTCATTAGGAAGTTGAAATATGTTAATGTATTTTTAATTATACAGTGAATCCTTCCTATATTATATATATAACGATTAAAGAATTGAATTATTAATCAAAATCTGGTTAGTTTTTAAAAAAATATTTTTATTGATTTCAGAGAGGAAGAAAGAGGGAGAAAGAGATAGAAACATCAATGATGAGAGAGAATCATTGATCCACTGCCTTCTGCATACTCCCTACTAGGGATGGAGCCAGCAACTCAGACATGTGCCCTGACCTGGAATCCAACGGTGATCTCCTGGTTCATAGGTGGATGCTCAACCACTGAGCACACCACCAGGGCATAGTTAGATTCTTAGAAACATACCTTCTCAGTCAGGAAAAGTTCCAGTGGCTGCTGCATTGGCCCATATTGTCATGCAGCAATTGTCTAGTTCCAAACCTCCCACCAGGTGCTTCTCAAACCTGAAGAAGGGGGTTTGTCACTAAATCTGATTCATGAGCACTTCCTCAGGAGCCTTCTGGGTGTGTGTGGCCTGCAATCTATACCTGCAATCTATACAATCTTTCTCAGAGGTGCCCACTGCACCTCCCATCCTCGGAAAGGGTGGAGTGCAATGAGCAGGGGTGGATTTGAATACTGACTATATTGCTCCCCCAACCCCCCCACCCCTAGCACACACTTAAAGTCTCTTTCCTGACCAAGCCTCCCTTTCCTTATATCTACTGTGGACTAACTGCACCTCACTAGGCTGTTGCAGAATTCCATGAGGTTGCAGTGCCACGACCGGTCAATGAATGCTGCTGACTGTGTTAATTCCATGTTTTTTCTTACAGTCTTATTTCCCACCATTTCCAAACTCCCCTGGCTGCATAGAAGTCAAATGAAAAGGGGTTTGCTTGAAAGAAGGATTCGGGAATCTCCCTGCAGTCAATACTGTAAAAACTGTCCCTGAATGTTCACCTTCCAGGAAAGGGGCTGGAGTTAGCCCCTGGGTTTGTAGTAGAAGAGGTAATTCTTAAATTATTGGAGCCACATGTGTAGCGTTGGCTTCAGGGAGGTCATTACCCGAATACCCAGGTTGTTGCTCTTGCTCCCATTTTCCCTCCCCTTCCTGCCCTCTCCCCAGGCCCTTCACCTACCCGCTCCCAGAGCTGGGCAAACCCTGGCTCCCCGCGGCGCCCATTGGTTGGTTAGCTTTTATTGATCTGGTCTGAGCGCTTTCCTGGCTTCCGGCGCGGCGCCAGGTGCTGACCATTTTGCAATCTAGACTATTAATATATAAAAGAGCAGGTTTTTCCTCTTCCCGGGACCCGTGCGGATCGTCTTTGGCGGCGTGGGCCCCCCTCCTATGGGTGGGTTGGGCTCTGGGGCTCACCCGTTGGCGCGCTGGGTGCCCCCTGGGGTGGTGGGGAACCAGCCCGGCTGAGGTCTGCGTGGGCAGAGCGCCGCGTGTTTCACTCCGCGAGCGCCTCCCGGCCGGGGCCGAACAGAGGGGATGCGAAGGCGGTCGCCCTCCACCTTCGCCCTCCTTCCCCCGTGTACTCTCCGTATCGACCCTCCTGGGAACCTCCCGCAGGGAAAAGCACCTCGGGTGACCTCCAAGGTCTTTGGATCTGTTGCTTCGGGGATCTGTGGGGATCTGTGCCATTTGAATGCCCGCGTTACTCCCATTGGAAGAACGCAGGCCCGCCCACCTGAACTACTGGTTTGGACTAGGGCGGGCTCAGGTGCTCCAATCGCTTTGTTTTTTGTCTCTGTGTGTGCACACGTGTGATTTTTTTTTTTTTTTTACAATTATATTGAACCCAGGTGGCTTCTTTAGTGTTCTAAAGTAGAAGGTGGCACTACTGTTTTTCCTCGTCTTCCTTACTTTCTAAAAAAAAGAAAGGGAGGGTTTTTGTTTGTTTGTTTGTTTTTTAACTGCTTTAAGATACCTTTTGGTCTTTAAAACTCCCCTATAGTCAAGCATGGCTGTTTTGAAATTGCATCTTTAGTGAGGAAGGAGGTAAAAGCAAAAGCTAGAGAGACCTGGGAATGTTTTATTTTGTGTATGCGATTATTTGGACCTTCAGAATTTTCCTGTGAAACACAAGAACAATTAAAGTAGATTCTAAGTAACAACAAACATATATGGCATAAAAGAAAAATTTAAGCTTTAGTCGGTTTGGCTTAGTGGATAGAGCCTCAGGCTGAAGGGTCCCGGTTCTATTCTGGTCCAGGGCACATGCCGGGGTTGTGGGCTCATCCCCAGTGGGCGGCGTGCAGGAGGCAGCCAGTCAATGATTCACTCTCTTCATTGATGTTTCTCTCTCTCTCCCTTTCCCTCCCTCTCTGAAATTAAAAAAAAAAAAATGTATTTTAAAATGTTTTGAAAAGTAAAATCAGTTTTTATTGGGATGAATGTAATAAAACTCATATCTCATTTTTCAATTAGTAAGTCTGGTTTATGATCATTTTGGTTTGTAGTTCTGTAATGTACTTAATACTAAAAGGGGGGAAGAACAGATTTTCATATTTTCTCTCTGCTATTCTGTTTTATTTTTCAGTCCAGAGCACAGCCACCCGAAGAGAACAAAAGGAAGCCAGTTTTGGGGAAACTTGGCAACCTGTTCTCAGCAGGAAGGAGAAGGAACACCAGGAACGGGTTAGAGAGTCCCACCAGCTCCAGTGCCAAGTCAGCCTCTCCCAAAGACGCAGCAGCCTGTGCCCAGCTCCCCGAGCAGCGAGAGGATGAGAAGGGGACCGCCCCCAGCAGCCCACCGGAGCCAGCCGACCGGTGCGGGGAGGGCTTCCCCCAGGAGCAGCCCCAGGAGCCCGAGGGCGAGCGCGCCCCGGACGCCCACCTGTCACCTCGCCTGAGCAGCCGCGCAGCGGCGGCCGGGCTGCTGTGCCCTGGAAATGAATCACCTCAATTAGAACCTGTGCACTCAGAGGGAGAGCCCTTCCCAGATGCCACCGCCGCCGCCGCTGCCAAGCAGCTGCATTCCTCACTGGAGAATTGCCCCGGGCGGGAGAGCGCAGACACGCCGGCCCGCGGTCCCGGGGAGGACGCATCGCCGGGCGCTGCTGGCGCGCAGGAGGCGGCCCCGGGTGCGGGGGGAGTGCCAGGGTCGCCCACCTCGGAGCGGGCCTGGAGGGGACCAGGCGAGGCCGCTGACACAGACTCCGGTGTGGGTGCCGAAGGAGAAGGCTCCCCGGAGCGCCTAGACGCGCGCAGCCAGTCCCCGGAGGGCGCGTCCGCTCCGCCAGGTGACCCTCCCGCCGAAGGTGCGGAGACCGGGCCCGGGCCCGGAGGACAGGGGTGCCGGCCGTGTGAGCGCGCCCACCCTGCCAAAGTGCTGACTTTGGACATCTACTTGAGCAAGACCAACGGGGCGCAGGTGGACGACGAGCCGGTGGTCCTCACTGCGGGGGCAGAAGACTGGGACGATCAGGACGACGACATGGATAGGAGGGCGGGTGGCCGCAGATCGGGGAGGCGGAGGAGGTCGCAGAAATCCACCGACTCCCCGAGCCCGGACACGGCGCTGCCGCCGGACGGCGCGGCCAGGGACGACGCGGTGTTCGACTACGAGGTGGCGCCAAACGCGGCGGCCGAGAACGAAAAGAAAGTGAAATCTGCCCGCGCGGCCCCGGACGGGGGCGTTGCCGCCGCCGCCGCGGCTGGCGCGGAGTCCAAGTCTAGCCCCGGCTCCAAAGGGCAGCCCCGAGGGGAGCCGGAGCGGGGCAAACAGCCTGTGCTGGCCACGTCCCCCACCAAAAGGAGGGGGAAGATCCGCGTCCCCGAAGCCGTGCCCATCCCGTCCTCCGCTGCAAGCCCGCGGGCTCCCGCCAAGGAGTCCCCGCCCAGGCGGCCGTCCGCGCCCGACTCCGGCCCCGCCGCCAAGGCAGCCGCGGGGGAGAGCGGGGAGGAGGCGCCCCGAGTCATCGCCCGCGAGCTCACCGTGCGGAGCAGCTCGCTGCTGCCCGAGATCAAGCCCGAGCACAAGAGGGGGCCGCTCCCCAACCACCACTGGGACGGCGGCCGGGGAGAAGGAAGTCGGAGCAAAGAGCTGGGCAGATCGACCGCGGGTCCTGACGCCGCCGCCGCCGAGGGCTGGAAGCCCAGGAACCACTTCGGGGCCGGCAGGTCGACGGTGACCACGAAAGTGACCCTGTAAGTAACCGCGGAATTGGCTGGGGAGTTGGTCCGGGCGGAGAGCACGTGCTGGTTGGTGGCCGAGCTGTTATTTGTGGAAGAACATCTGTGTGCTGAATGTTCTCTTGTGTTGAACTTAAGCTAGTGAAGAGCTATTTAACATAGTTAAGGTTTAAGATGACACATTTGGGAGTGTGGTCAGCTGTTAATGTCGTGTAAAAATGAGGTATCTCTTGAGGCGCATAAGCGATCAAGAGAAGACTGTAGGGCTTGACATAAGCGGATTTTATTCTTTATTCAAAATGTACACTGGTATTCTTGGATGGAACATTCTTAAAACACATGTAGTGAATTTCAAAACATGAATCAAACACTAATATGCTCAGTATGTCCCAGCAGCTTTGACATGAGCGAAGTTAAGAGTAGTCATTAGAAACTTTTAAGAAAGGTCGGTGGTCTTACTGGGAGACTGTTAGCTAAATGAAAAGACACATTAGAAGAATCAGGCTGTTAAGTTGATTGATTTTTTCTAATATTTATTGAATACTTTCTGTGCATGGTATTGTGCTATGAGCTATGGGGGAGGGGGGGGCAGAATCCACAACTATGAGTCAGTATTTTGCCCTTGAAAAATTTATGGCCCAGTCTAGAACACAAGATGCTGACAAATCAAATAACAATATGAAGTGATTTCTGATTACTAAACTGCCAATGGGTGTTACCATCTGTAAAAGTTGGGGATGTTCAAAAGAAAGAAGAAAATCACTGTTGGTATTGGTTTTGTGTGTGTGTGTTTTGGAAGGACTTGCGCCTTGATGATAATGTAAGTGGTATGAGTGGAGGGATAGGGAGGGTAATATAAAAACTCTTAAGATCCTCCCCCTTCCCACACTCTCCTCTATATTCGTCAGCACATGTGAATAATGAGTGTCTAAACTGCTTACATTTGTCCTGCATTCGCACATGTATTAAAAGAGGTATTTTCACAACATTGTCATTCTTAAACTAAATAGACCATTCTATTTTACCTCTTGGATAAGTTAAGAGCAGATCTGTTTGGCAAACACTTGAGAGAAAAGTCTGCTTAATGAATAAGGTGAGCCACCTCACCAGCTTCGAACTCGGAGACCTTGATATAGTCAGCTATTTATTCTGTAACAGCAGCGGTGGAGAAATAACCTGAGTGAATGATGCCCATTATTTGTAGAAGGCCAGTGTGCCAACATTCAGACCTCCTAGTGTGAGCCTCAGAGAGAAGTTGCAGTGTACCTGGTGAGAACGCTTCAGCCTCCCCTGTCTGCCAATAGGAATACACCAGTGGAAGAACCAGAAATGTTACACTGCTCAGGGGCAGGGTAAACAAACCCGGGGGAGCGGATCCTACAATGAAACTCTTCATGTGCTGTTGTCTGAAATGGAGCTAAACCAAGTGTCTTTTTCTCAGTACTAATTACTTTCTACCTAAATTTTTTTCTTTGCTAGATACTATTATTTTTGTTTTCCACAAGGCCTCAACTTGGTGAACTGGCAAACTATTGAAATAGAAAATTAATAATGATTTCTTTTCTCTGTGACTGATGGGGTTTTCAAACCCTTTAATTTCCCCTTGATTGCCTTTCAAGAAAATAGGTTAACTCAGATTATTTTATTTTATATATACACTAGAGGCCCAATGCACAATATTTGTGCAAAGTGCTCGGCCCTCACAGCCCTAGCTGCCTCAGCCAGCCCCCGAAGCCCCTACTTTGTCTGGAAGGTCATTCAAGAGGTTGTCCAGATGGTCGTTCTGCTGTTTGGTCTAATTAGCATATTAGCTCTTTATTATATAGGATATACATGTACACACATATATACATATACACTGAGTGGCCAGATTATTATTATGTTCTCTGAAAACATAATAATCTGGCCACTCAGTGTGTGTGTGTGTGTGTGTGTGTGTGTGTGTGTGTGTGTGTGTATTAGAGGCCCGGTGCATGAATTTGTGCATGGGTAGGTCCGACCAACCTGGCCAGGAGGAAGAGACATGGGCGGTTGGCCGGCCTGCCTATTGGTCGAACTCCTGGTCGAGGGGACAATTTGCATATTAGCCTTTTATTATATAGGATATAAACTGAGTGGCCAAATTATTATGTGTTCATAGATCATAATAATCTGGCCACTCAGTGTACATTATTTCAGAGAAGAAGGGAGAGGGATAGATAGAAACATAAAAGAGAGAGAAGCATTGATCAGTTGCCTCCTGCATGCCCCCTACTGGGGACTGAGCTGACAACCTGGGCATGTGCCCTGACAGGAATCAAACTGACAGAATCGAACTGTGACCTGGTTCATAGGTTTACACTCAACCACTGAGCAGCACTGGCCAGGCAACTCAGATTATTTAAAACAAAACAAAACAAAACAAAAAACACAACAATTTGAATCTGAAGTTTTAGAGTTAAAACTATATTCCCTCCCCCACCCCCCACCTCCAAAATAATGACTATGACCCTAGTTGGTTTGGCTCAGTGGATAGAGCATTGGCCAGTCGACAGTCGATTGAGGGGTCCTAGGTTCAATGCCAGTTAAGGGCACATCCCTCGGTTGTAGGCCAATCCCCTGACCGAGTTGGGGCTCATGTCGGAGGCAACCAATTGATGTGTCTCTCTCACATCGATGTTTCTCTCTGTGTGTCTCTTCCCCTTCCCTCCACTCTCTCTAAAAATTAGTGGGAAAATATCCTCAGGTGAGGATTATAAATAAATAAATAAGAAGCAGTATGTTTCTTGAAGTTGTGAGAAAATTTGTCTTCTGTTCTCTACCAAGTAGTGAATGTTGAGATTCTTAAAATGGTGTATTTAAAATAAGGAGAATTTTTCTCTTGTATTATAGCCATAGCTTTTTAGACTCCATTATTTTCTCCCCTCACATTGTAGTGAAGGCATTACGACATGAATTATAGGAGTCTTTTAATCACTTTGAGCTGGGTTAATTGTAGTGACTCTTGGTAGCAGAAGTTAATAACACAGAAAGTTTGGTTGTAAAAATGTATTTTGATCTTGGTGTAAATCTTTAATGTGCAGATGTTTCCTGTCCTTAAGGTAGCGTGTTGGCTAACTAGTGGCATTTTCCATTTACATTCATAAGATTCACTTTGATCTTTGGCTGTCCTTAGAGATGATTAGTGAGAATTTCTAAATGTATATTCCCTGGTATGTGAACATGCCTCATGATAGCTTTCTATTGGAAACTTTCTATTTCTAATCATCGTACTGGTTTTGGAATTTTATCTTTAAGGAAGTGCTGATAAGTTAATTTGCTTTTAAATTTAAGATATGGGCCCACAGTGTAGAAGCCTAAATATCTAATAGAGATTTGGGGGGAAAGCAGCTTGGGAGAAATTAATGAGAATATATCAAATTTAGTATTTAAATAATATTTTAAAAAATGAAAACATAGCCAAAACCAATTTGGCTCAGTGGATAGAGCATCAGCCTGTGGACTGAAGGGTCCCAGGTTCAATTCTGGTCTAGGGCATGTACCTTGGTTGCGGGCACATTCCCAGTAGGGGGTGTGCAAAAGGCAGCTGATAGATGATTCTCTCATCGATGTTTCTAGCTCTCTATCCCTCTCTCTTCCTCCCTGTGAAAAATCAATAAAACATATATTTAAAAAAATGAAAACGTAAATTCTTAATGCTGCATTTGGGAAAGACTTCTCAAGTCTTCTCATTTTATCCACAAGGATAAGGTGTCTCACCCAAAGTCATAATTTCTGTTCCTTCAAAAGGCTCCTCAGGCCCAACCTTCTTGAAGAGCAGTGAGTCCATGTGGGAGATAGTGGGGGATTTCAGTGCTTCTCCACTCTGTGTTCTCATCGTGGTGGTCTCATAAAGTGTGATCACTTTGTCTTATAGCTATAAGTTATTGACTCCTTGAATCCTAAGGATGTCCGTCATTGAAGCGAGTCTTGTCTGACCTTTTCTGGGGAAAAAGAACAGTAGAGTGGTTGAGAGCATGGCAGCTGAAACCAGAACAACTGGCTTCAAATCTTGGCACTGCCACTTATTAGCTGTGTAACCTCAGGCAAATTACTTGCCTTCTCTAAGCTTCAACTTCCTCATCTTAAAAGAGAAAGGATAACATTGTCCATGAGGCAAGCCTTAGAGAGTGTTTCTCCTGGGCTTGGCAATCAGCGAATGTTGGTGATTATTATCTCTTCCAATTTATAAACCACTAGACCACTAGTTTAGACATTTTTGGTTTTGTTTGTTTTTTAGCTTTGGAGTTACATTCTTCTAGGAAAGCTTATATAAAAGTGATATATAACACAGATAAGTAGAGTGACTCTGAAAGGATGGTGGCTGGCCAACAGCCCCATCCCTCAGTCTCTACTGTTCCCAACTGGAGCCTTTGAAGAGAACTCCTTGTGGGGGGGTGGGATGGGGGAAACGACTCTGTTCTAAACTACCTAGTCTTTGTTTACAGATAGAGAAGTTAGAGTTTGGAGAGTAAAAGTGACTTGACCAAGTACACATAGATAATTAGTGTAAGAGCCAGGACCAGAGCCAGCTAATGTCAAACAGAAAATGTTTTGTTTCTCAGAAAGGAAAAAGTGTGCACAATCAAAGATTTATGATTTCCATTAGGCTGGTAATTACACTCAAGAGAGGAGACTGAGGGTGGAGACCCACTTTGCTCAAAAAATGGTGACAAAACCAACAATTGGACATTTGATAGGTATGTTTTGGTACATCTATATGATGGGCTCTTATGCAGACGCTAATAAAACTTTTTAAACAAACAGTTTGGTAACATGAAACGTTAAAAATGTTAAATGTAAAGTTAAGTAATTTTATTTTTAAAAACAAGATACCAAACTCTATTAACAGAATAATCTTAATTCTATTAAGACTATTTAACTACATATAGAAAGACTGAACATATTCTAAAATATTAACAGAGATATCTGAATGGTAGGATTGAGTGATATTTTATATTTTCCAAATTTTCTGTAGTGTGCATACTTATATAAACAGATAAAAATTGCTTGGGGTAAGGATAATGGAAATAAAATATTGAAAGTGGTAAATAATAGGTACATATTTTTTATAACTTAGTTTTTTAGGATAATATACATTATGAAGAAATAAAAATTACACAGTTGATGTTTAGAGAAATCATTTACGTATTTAAAATAGGAGAATGCATTAAACATTTAAATTTGTTTTGTTCTAATGTTCTTGAGGCCTTAAGTTACCATAACTCTAGTGCCAAGCACTGTATGTAAATACTAGAGGCTGATGCATGAAATTCATGCAAGGGGCTTGGCCCTCGCAGCCCCAGCTTCATCTGGAAGGTCATGTGGATGGTGTTCTGCTGTTCAGTTTTATTAGCATATTTGCTCTTTATTATATAGTATGAGGTACTTGATAAACTTGCTAACTTCTCAACTCTAGACTTTCTTAATTATATAATTTTCTTTCCCCTCACACTGAAGCAAAATATTGATTAAAAAGAATTGATAGTGTATTTAGAATTGTTTAGACTTTTTCATTTTTTTTTAATTACATACCAGAAAAATGTTGGCTTTTTATAGTTTTATAATAAATTGGTATGTTCACTTCTTAAAACTAGGTCAGTAACTGTATCATATTGCTTTTTTTCTTGCAGCCCTGCCAAGCCTAAACATGTGGAACTAAATCTTAAATCTCCTAAAAATCTTGAGAGTTTGGGAAATGAGCATAATCCACTTAGCCAGCCAGTTCATAAAGGAAATACTGCTACCAAAATCTCCTTATTTGAAAACAAACGGGTAAACAGTAGCCCAAAACACGCCGACATTCGAGGCACAAGGAACACCCTTGCCTCTAATAAAACATTTGTCGGGAGGGCGAAGCTGAATTTAGCCAAGAAAACAAGAGAAATGGAGCAACTTGAAAAGAAAGGTAGTCCCCACAATGTTGTCCTGGTGAAGGAAACCTCTGCAGAAACCAAAGTTATTCTCCCTGAAGAGGAGATCCTCCCAGCGACCGGGAGTCCTGAAGGAAGAGGGATGGAAGGAGAGGCCACCGAGGATCAAGCTCTTGGTCCTCAGCTTCAGCATGGTGATCAAAGAGATGCTGACTGCCCTTCTGACCCAGTGGCTACTGCTCTGATTCCTGTCAAGGACCACAAACACTTAGGAGAGGGCGACTCAAAGGCTGCTGACAGCAAAAGACTTGTACTTGAAAACAGCACTGAGACTGTGCAACCCATTCCCTCCATTCTTGATACCAGAGACTCACCATCAGCCACACCAAAACCACAGGATCCATTTTCTGACTCACAGCCCCCAGCTGAGTCATCTAATCAGCCTCCGTCACTGCCTGCACCCGTTCCTGGGGATATGCCCAAAGACGCGTGTGCTGAAGCTCCCCTGAGCAGTTTTCCATGCCCTGATCTAAACGTATCAGAAAACCACAGAGGGTGTATCTTGCCTGTGTCTCATCTGGATCATGAGAACATGCCCCCCTCCAAACTTGGAGCAAGAAGAGAAAGAGGAGGAGGAGGTGGAGAAGGAGGAGAAGTAAGCTCTCCTTTGTCCACAGAGCACAGCCCGGAAGTTGTGGGAACTGAGAGTCCATCCAAGGTCCTGGTGCAGGTCAGGTCCTTCGTCCTTCCCGTGGAGAGCACCCAGGATGTAAGCTCCCAGATCATCTCCAATGGCTCTGAAGTGAGAGAAGTGCAGTTGCCAAGTTGTCACAATAATGAACTTGAAGTGGTTTCCGTTGTAAGTTGTGCTCCCCAGAAAGAGGAAGTACTGAGCAATAAGAGCACATCACCCAAACACGTTCATCACAAAGAGGAACATGCAGCAAAATCTGGCCCACAAGTCATGCCACCAGAATCAGAGAAAATTCTGCCTTCCCAGGCTCAAAGTCAGGGCGACGGAGCGCTCCTGGCGGCTGAATCCAGCCCCACTCACTCCCCCGGTGGCAGAAATCATTTAGAAACTCCTCAGAGGCCAGATCAGAATGTTGTGAATGGCCAAGACAGCCCTGCCAGTCGTTTGAATGTCTCTGGTGGTAGTGATGATAGTGTACTGGATTCCTCTTCTGATATGGAAAAATTCACTGAAATTATCAAAAAGATAGACAGCAATGCTTGTGTGCCTCAGAAGAAAAAGAAAGCCAGGGTGCCAAACTCTCCCACCCCTCACTTTGTCATGCCTCCCATCCATGAGGACCATTTAGAAAAGGTGCTTGATCCCAACGTGTTTACCTTTGGTTTGGGAAAGAAAAAGGGAAGCCAGCCAGAAATGTCACAGGCTTTACAGCTGATGCCGAATGTAGACCCCAAGTCCACACCGAGGTCCAAACGCATCTCCACCGAACAGAGTATCCTCTTCAAGTCCTTGCACGCTCACGCTAACGGGAAGGACGGACCTCTGGTGAATCCAGAAACCAACGACAAGGAGAACAGGGAGGTGCCAAATGGTGGAGTTAAGAGATCTAGGCTAGAAAAAAGTGCACTTTTCTCAAGCATGTTGTCTTCGTTACCACAAGACAAAATCTTTTCTCCCTCTGTGACGTCAGTCAATGCCATGACCACAACATTCAGCTCTTCTCAGAACACTTCTCTTTCTCGGTCTCCTGTGTTACTGCCTGTGGCTGAGGGTGCCCCACCCAGCTCTTCAGAAAAAGAACAGCCCCATCTTCCGCCCAACAACTTCTTAAAGGTCTTCAATTTTGACTCGTCAAATGCATCTCACTCAGGCTTGAAAAGTCCAAGCTACATGGAAAAATACCTGCAAAAGGAGGAAAGCAAAAAGGATCTGGATTCACGAAGCAACCTACACTTGCCAGAAACGAAATTTTCTGAATTTTCAAAGCCGAAGATCGGTGATGATGTGGAAAAGGCAAATCACGTTGACAGCGCTCTGAAACCGAACTTGCCGAGCTTTGGGGACAGTGACACAGACTTCATGGGTCTTTTCAAATCCAGACGGTTTGACCCAAACATTTCTTTCTCCGGAATGCCATTATCAGATCCAACAGTAAGTAGCAACATATGATCATTTATTTGGGGTACTTATAAAGTGAGAGCAGAGAGGGACATTGAGCAAGTCATGTTACTCTTTTAGAAATGGTTATGCTTGTACACAATCATTTTTTAAGTTCTTGAACGTGTCTTTGGAAACCTATGTACAAGGGATTGGTAGGGTACAAGGAAAAGATACTAAGATTCTGTTCTCAGGGTATTCGTAGTCTTAACAGGGAAAATAAGTTACTGATATTTTAAGATACTTGTGAATTTATATGCTGTATTAGGAAAGGTATAGATAAAATACCCTGAGAATTCAGAGACAGACAAGGTGGTGTGTTTTTTCTTCCCTAGTTTTGCCTAAAAATACACGGTATTATAGTTAGAATTTTGAAGATTTGTGAAGCAGCCACCCTTATTCCTAATCCCTTGTGCTGTGAGGTTCATTCTTTCTTTCCAAAAATAGTAATAAAGATGTCTGCTATGCATTTGAGAAAGTATTTTCTCTTTATTTGGAATTAGTTTTCATCAGGGGAGTATTTTTCCCCCACAAGGGCTTTGAGGAGTAAAAAATGTGGGGCAACATTGGCTCTTTCCTTGAATATTGTAGAGAGGGCAGCAAAATATGATTTTGAGCAACAATTATGATTTCTCCATATTTTTCTGTCTGACTGCTAATGTTTTCTTTATCCAAATTTTTTATGTGAATTTGTGCCTTTCTGTTACCAAACTTGATACTCAAGTTGAGGGAAGACAATGAAAGAGAAAAACAGAATATAAGGTTTAGAGGTCAGCTCTGTTAGCCCAGAAACATAAGTGCACCTCTCCATTCCTGTTGCCCACCCTATGAGCCAGGCCATCTGTCAAGTGTAGACAATCATCTGAAACAGTTTATCCAAGCAGAAAATACCTGGCACCCTCCCTCATTTGTCTGGGGCACTGCCACATGTTTCAGTTTATTGTATTGGCTTTTACCCCAAGCCTTTCTTAGAATGTAATTCTGGAAGCTCTTTAAAAATATATAGTTGGGTCCTGTCAGTGTGGCTCAGTGGTTGAGCCTCAACCTATGAACCAGGAGATCATGGTTCGATTCCTGGTCAGGTTACATGCCCAGGTTGTGGGCTCGATCCCTTGTGTGAAGGGTGTAGGAGGCAGCCTATCAAAGATTCTCTTCATTGATGTTTCTGTCTCTCTCTCCCTCTCCCTTCTTCTTCAAAATCAATAAAAAGATAGATAGATAGATAGATAGATAGATAGATGATAGATAGATATAGTTGGGTTTCCAGCAAGGTACAGATCCCTTTTTTCAAAAGTTTTCAAACTTTGGGTCTTAGGATGCTTTTATATTTAAAAATTATTGAGGACTCCAAAGAGCGTTTGTTCACATAGGTTTTATTGATACTTCTCAGAATTTATTATGTTAGACATTAACACTAACAAAAGTAAAAAAGTACAAGAACACGCAGGTGTACATTTCATTAGCCATCATGGCAATGATGTCATGGACACTCAGGGAAATGCCATTGTATCCTATGAGGTGAAGAGAGAGAGAAAGGTAAATAGCCTCTTCTTTCTGTGAACATGGTTTTTATCTTATGAACTCCCTGAAAGCACATTGGAGCCCCCCCGGAGTCCCTGGACCACTATTTGGGGAACACTTAATTTATAACTCAGAGAAATTATAAAATGTTTCAGTATTTCTCTGAATCACAAAATTTCCACTGGTCTACTTCCTGTTCATTACAGCCTTATTCTCTCTTTTTCATCATTCTTGGATCACTTCTCTTATTTGACAACAGTCTGGAGAGTCTGACAACAGAATATACAGTTTCCCTGTAGAATCTCTTAATAAACTTAGCCAAAATGGGGTAAAAAGAAGAAACAAAGTGCTGTATATCCCCTTTGTTTTTCTTTAGGTTTTGGGCTTTGTTGATTATATGTAACTGTTCTATCTTCTATGTGTTACCTGAATTTTGTTTTAATTTTTAGGCTTTTTCTTCAGCTTCTCTATTTCTAATATATATATATGTAAATGCCACTTTGACTTCTAATAATGCTTTCCTGAGACCTTCCTCTGGTCTCTTGGGCATATTCTACTCTGGCATGATGCAAGAGTGATCAGATCAAAGGCAGTTCTTAGGGTAGGCATCCTGGTCAGCATTGAAAGTAGTCCATGTTTTATCTTTTCTTTTACATGTATAATTATTATTTTTATTGTATATGCATTTCTGGTTTTACTGGTCTTCATATTTACAAGGTACATTGTGAAATAATCCATACGCACATTATTGTTGTTTTTTTTAAATTGATTTCAGAGAGAGAAGTGGGGGGTGGGGGAGAGAGAGAGAAACATTGATATGAGAAACTTTGCCTCCATACATGCCCCTACCTTGGATCAAACCTGCAACCTGGTATGTACCCTGACTGGCACCCACCACCTTTTGGTGTACAGGACGACACTCCAATTGACTAGGATTTATCACTGGACAGGGCTTCATCAACATGCTTTCATTTAGACTAGTAGTTGTTATGTGATAGTAGAAATTACTATGAAAAAACTGTATAGATTCAGATAAGGTGTATATGAACACATAAAATTGATTCAGCTCATTCTAGATAAGTGATTAATACATAAGATATTTTGAATTATAATCTGCTGAGTTCTTATTCTGTAAATTCATATAAAATATAGATCTGACTCTTGAGGCCTAGATTTTCTAGATTGGTGAAAATAGCCTAGGCATTTAAGTGAAGAGAAATCGGAACGGCAACTTCACTTGGGCATGGGAAGCTCTTAATAGTATAGACACAGAGACTTTTAATATAACTTAGATCAAGGGAGACTTGTTTCAAAATTGGAAAATTGTGAGGTGAATATGATCATACTCAGAGGATCATGGGAGGAGAAATGAGGACTGGTACGCAAAGTTTAATTATTTATTGTGGTTTTGTTCATCTGATTACAGACGCTTAGAGGAAGTGTCCAAACTAAAATCAACCCGCGACCTGGAAAGGTAAGATTATTTTTTGTTTTTAGACTAGCTTTTATTTTTGTCCGGTAAAGAACAGGAAGAAGTGTGACCACTCCCACTCTCTCGCAGGTGGTGATCTACAAGGAGCCGGAGGTCTCTGAGGAGTGCATTGAAGTCTTCAGTGACACGGGAGACTGCAGCTCCTGGAGCCTCTCGCCCGTGGTGCTTGTGAAAGTTGTGAGAGGCTGGTAAGGCTGGCTCTTTGACTTCCTGACTATAGGGCTTACATTTTACACTTTTAATTACTCTTTGGCCTTTAGTCCTTATTCAAAATTATGCCCTTAGCAATGTCAAGGGCAGACAGTACTAGTCCCAGTGAATATTAAACGGAATTCATAACAAAGAAATGTGGTTTTTAATTATGTTTCTGGTTACAGGAATGAAACATATTTTTTCTAGAAAAATAAGAAAAGTGTAGCATTTCTTTCCCATGTACCTCATGTACATAACATTGGTTTGGGCTAATGAACATCAGATTCATCATATACATTTGGCTTATGAACTTTTAGTGAGGTTGATAAGAATTATACTAGTTACGTTGGTAGGATTTTTTTAATTCCATAAGGAAAGACATTTTGCTAACATTTTATGTAATTGTTCAGTGAAGGACTAAGTTAAAAGTTATTTTCCAACTTTTTGATAACAGGTAGGAAAGAAGCTAGTGAAAACATTCTTTTACCAGTTTAATTGCTTCTAGAATATACAAAGGAAGTTGGGTTAAGAAACACATTTAAAAAAATTACTTATGAGTCATGAATACTTATCTTTGGTACCTATCTGTAAGCTTCTTTGAAATAAAGAGATAGGGTTCTCGACATTTGTGGTTTAAAAAACTAGTAAGCTTTTCTTTTGGTTTCCATTTGATTAAATATGCAGCGTCTTTCCTATAAAGTTTTAGATATGTTACTATATTTTTCTATATATTCAACATATTCATTAGAAAATATAAGTAGCTTTTGTTTTTAAATTTAAAGACTGAAAATAACATTAAATTTTTATATAACAATTTTGTTTTTAATAAGAGTTCTGTGGTTGTTGTTTTTTTCCAATTTTTGTTGGCTTCCCTCTTCTTGAAAGCATAATTCAGGTGGATAAAAGCAGGTCTACAGTTGTGAGTAAAACACAATTTATGTTTATATTATTACTCTATTACATTTTCATACAAACAATTGTAAACCACACCCATATATAGAAAAATATAGTAACATATCTAAAACTTTATAGGAAAGATGCTGCATATTTAATCAAATGGAAACCAAAAGAAAAGCTTACTAGTTTTTTAAACCACAAATGTCGAGAACCCTATCTTCAGTGTTTGGATATTGTTACAAAGGATATTTTTAAAAATGCTTTTCATTAACATGTGTAGTTCTTTGTATCAATATATCCATTTTTTAAGTCTCCACTAACTGGCAATTCTATAGAACATTAGTATCTCTAGGACATTAATATTGATAGTGGAATGTTCTCTAACGTCCTGATATAATTCTCGAGTTATCAGAAGCTAACTTTTAGTGAATTTTTGTGTTAGGGAGAGTTAATACATTTTCTTAGAGAGAAGGGATTTCAAGGAGGGGGCAAAGTAGGTGGAAGCTACACTCACCTCCTACGAGGACCACACTGGAATTACAACTAAATTAAAGGAGAATCATCCCGAATAACAAGCGGAAGGCTAGCTGCAGAGGAGTCTTTAACCAAAGATTTATAGAAGAAGCCACCGGCGACTGCTCCAAACAGGCTGCCGAGGGCCAGGCACAGAAAGTGCCTGACATTGGCTTGCACGAGAGATCTATCCAGTGGCCAGCTTCAATCTTCAGCGCAAGATCCAATAAACCTCATAAGCAGCATATTGAGAGGGAGATCTCGGCAGGCACTAAACCCTGCTGAGGCGAATTTCTGCTTTGTATGGTCAGCACCTGCACAGCTGCTCGTACACAGTGGGGTTGATCCTCACAGTCAGCAGCCTGAGGGGCCGTGCCACACTGAACGGGCCAGTTGCAATCACTGTTAGAGAACGGGCCATAATGTGTTTTGTACAGGGTGGCTTTTACCCAGAATATTTGAGTAACCTAAATCTCTCTCACCAGGACTGGCTAATAGTTCGCTGTGTTTTATTCTTTTTAGTTGGATTTTGTATGAAAAACCAAATTTTGAAGGCCACTCCATCCCCTTAGAAGAAGGAGAATTGGAACTTGCTGGTCTTTGGGGTATAGATGAGATTTTGGAAAGAAAAGAGGAGGAAGAGTCTCCTAAACCTGTGGTGATTGGTTCAATCAGACATGTGGTCCAGGTAGGTTATGGGAAAACCAGAATCCATCTATTCATTCCGCAAATACTTATTGAATGCTATAGGTGAATCTTACTCTGAGAGAACAGTTCATTTTATGGAATAAGTGGTTTGGAAAAAATATTTGATTGGTATTTATGGATATACTTTTTGTAAGTATTTGTACATTTTATCTTTTAAAAATATATTTTATTGATTTTTTTACAGAGAGGAAGGGAGAGAGATAGAGAGTTAGAAACATTGGTGAGAGAGAAACATCAATCAGCTGCCTCTTGCTCACTCCCTACTGGGTATATGCCTACAACCAAGTTTCATGCCCTTGATCAGACTCGAACCTGGGACCCTTGAGTCCACAGGCCAATGCTCTATCCACTGAGCCAAACTAATTAGGGCTATTTGTACTTTTTAAATGAATTAGAAAAAAACTGGCTTATTTCACTTAGCATAAAGTAAAAGGTAAGTATCATGATTTCTCTCATATGTAGACTCTAATGAACAAAATGAGCTAACAAGCATAATAGAGACAGACTCATAGATAGAGAGCAAACTGACAGCTGTTGGGGAGGGAGAGGCGGGGGAGGGGTAAGGAGGGTAAAGGGTGGATAAATGGTGATGGACGGAGACTTAGGGTGGAATAATACAGAGTACAGATGATGTGTTGTAGAATTGTGCACCTGAAACCTGTATAATTTTGTTAACCAGTTTCACCCCAAGAAATTTTGTAAAATGGAAAGAAGAAATAAAATAAAGTCAAACTAATGATTTAAAAAATGAATTAGAAAAGAAACATTGGTTAGTCACCTTTTTCACAATAAACCTTGAAGGTTAATTTTTTATGCCTGGCTTGCCCATCCCTTTTCCAAATGTATTTTATATAATAACCTGGTTTTGATAAGTTCTGAATGAACAGATTTTTCTTTTATTTAGTTTTTTTTTTGTTGCTGTGTGAGTTCTGATTACTTTTAGCGGCTTATAAAAGTTCTATTTGGGAAAAATAATTCATTTGATAGTTCGGCTCTGGCGTTTTATGTGGGTTTAAAAAAATAAGTCTTTGGGGCTACTTTATGGATTGGTTAAAATTTCCTTAATTCCTTTTTGTAGCAGCACCTTTCTTGTAGCTGTTGAGATTTGATAATTCTTTACCCTTTTTCCCTTTAAGAATGTAATTAATGGTACTTTCCAAATAGAAAATTAAAAAAAACTGTGTGTGTAATAGAGATGGGTGTTGGAATGCAATAGAGAGCAAATAAATGTTCTAAAATGAGAACGACTAAGGAGTAAGAAAGTTGCCTCCCACATGCCCCCGTCAAGGCCGATGCATAATATGAAAAAGCTTAAGAAAGACACGAGGAGCCCCATTTAAAAATGGCACAGTGGAATAATTTATATGCAGTTTTTATTTATTGCTGAAATAATATTGGTAATATAGTAATGTTTTAAAACAATCATCCAAATCCCACCATCATGAAGTTTTCTTGGCTGATATTCTAATGTGGTTGCTATCATAATACAGGCACAAAGCTCTTTTCCTTTTTTTCACATTACACTTTGGTTCCCAGTCCTTTTTCTCTTTCCATACAATTTATCTGACGATCACACTCCCATTGGTAATATCTCTCACTGATTTGCAGCCGAGGGAGGTATCAGAATATGGTGGGTGGAGATTCAGGTGCATTAAAGAAAGTGGGGGAAGGGAAATTGCAGACTTGATGAAGTTAATGCTTTTCATGTCTACATCCTTTGGGATTTCCATTGAAGTGATGTGCCATCACTTATTTTTCCTTTCTATGCTCTGTGGAGCTTCAGATTGTTTCTGGTTTTTTACTATTTTAAATAAAGCTGCATGAACATTTTGTGAACATAGTAAGTTATACATTTCTGCTTTATTTCCTTGGGGTAAATATTTATGAAGGGTGTCATGTTAAAGGATAGGAACACTTTTATGGCTTCTGATATATCATGAATTATTATTATTATTATTATTATTATTATTACAGTTTGTTTATGGCTTTGTGAAACACAACATAAGCCACAAATACTCAACGGAATCACCTTTTTAAATTTGTTTCTTGTGTTAATGTTTGAAAGAGCCTGCCCTGAACTAACCCAAATGTTACTGTTTCTTTTGTACATGGGTTCACCTAGCTAAGCAATCAAATATTAAGAGAGGTTTGGTTAGCACTTGGGCACTCAGCCAGGAGAGGCCTTTTGAAGAGTGTCTGATGGGCTGTGGACATGCAGGGCATGGAACAGCGATCAAAGTGCAGAGATCTGTAAGTCACCATAACTGTGCCTTTGCAGTACTCAGACCAGCCCGGCACCATAGGAGTTTGGTCAGTCAAGGAGCATTTTTGGGGGGTGGGGGGAAGGGCACAGAACAGGAAGACTCCTGGCACAACCACTCTATAGACCTGATTCTTTGGAGCTGGGTGGTCACATTGTAGCAAGGAAACTAAAACTGCTGCCCTAGCCCGTTTGGCTCAGTGGCTAGAACTTTGGTCTGAAGGGTGGCAGGCTCAATTTGGGTCAAGGGCACATACCTCAGTTGCATGCTCCATCCCTGGCCTTGACGGGGGCATATGGGAGGCAACTGATCGATGTGTCTCATATCGATGTTCCTCCCTCCCTGTTCCACTCTCTTTAAAAAATAAATGGAAAAAACATCATCTGGTGAGGATTAACAAAACAAAAACAAACCAAACTAAGCTAAAACTCCTGTCACCAAGGAAAACCAGCAGTTTTCCAGTGAGGATGAGAGAAATAAATATGCCCAAAACTCTAATGAAATATATTTCTGATGATCTTTGCTTGAATTTAAAACTCAGATATATGGTAAAAGTAATGTGTCTGCCCCAAAAGAGCACCTATTAGTAAGTCATGGGTGAAAACAGGAAAGGGATAAAATGGCAGGTGCTCTGTGAAAGGTGTGTGTATATTTAAAGCTTATTTTAATTCTTTGGGGGAAATGTGCTTACTGTACAGTTACATGCATAGTGTAGTTATTATATGTGTCCATGCATTTTTTATTTTTTAGGATTACAGAGTTAGTCACATTGACTTATTTACTGAGCAAGAAGGGCTGGGAGTCATGAGTTCCTACTTTGATGACACTGAAGAAATGCAGGGGTTTGGTGTGATGCAGAAGACTTGTTCCATGAAAGTGCATTGGGGCACGTAAGTGCTTTATTTTAAGTACAATTTCAATGAAGCTTTTTTGGTGCGTGTCATACTGAAAAGAAAACTTAAAATGTTCTGTTTCTAATTTGTTGTGTTGCTAAGTAATTACTGACTAAAAGGGTTGTTGTTGTTTTTTAACAAGGCACATAAAATTCTGCCTTTTCTGTACAGCTCTTACAAACAATGATTTCTTAGGGGAAAAGTAAGGGGGGAAATGCATGTTCCATGTAGGGATTTCCTTATCCCAGAGGAACCTGATTCATTCACAGCTGAGTAGGAGATTTTACCTTCCTGGTCATTCAGAGCCTGTGCCCCTGATGTGTCAGCCGGGATAGAGGCCAGCACACGTGGCACTTCCCTTCACGTTCCACACAATGCTGCCCGCAGCCCCTAGGATGTTGATTTCACAAATCACAGGAAACTGCAAGAGTATTTTGAAGGAAATGAGAATATCTCAAACGGGGGAGAAACGAGGATAGAAAGTGCAGGCTGAAAGACGGAAGGACAGGTCTCTAAAGAGGAGTGCACGGCCGAGGGCACATTAAACACAGACATTTGAGATGCAGCAAAACACCCACTCCCGAACACTAAAGATCCTTTATATTTTATGGAAAATCTCCTTTTGAGATTTCATTTTTGTGTATGTTTTCTAATAAGTTCATGATAGATTCAATGGTAATATGTAATTTATAAATATTCATGTATTCAGAGAATGCAGAAAAGTTTTTATTAATGGGGGTCTGCATAAGACAATGCATGTGTCATGTGTCAGCTGGTAAATCCTACAGAAACGTAAGTTACAGAGAGGGACAGTGGTAATGCTGCTTTAGATAGAGCGGTCAGGAAAGGTCTAACTAGCCAAGCAGACACCCACCCGGAGGGAGGAAGCCAGGGAGTCAGCCCTGGGGATGGTTGAGAGAGGAGGGGCAGGGGAGCAGCCTGGGCAGGAAGCACAGCCTTTGCAAAGCCCTGCTGGGCATGGTTAGGGAACAGCCAAGGAGGCACATGTGGCAGACTGACTACGCCAGGACGCCCATGGGAGAGAGGCCTCATGTCATGTCAGGCCTTTCAGAAGTGGGAACGGATTTTAGATTACTGGAAGTGACGTGGGTCATCAGTGATGGAGTTTGATCTCACCTGTGTTTCAGAAAGGTCACTAACTGCTCTATAGAAAATAAGCTGTCATGAGGCGAGGGCGGAAGCAAACAAACACGTTAGGAGGCAGTTGCAGTTCTATGGGCAAGAGGTTTTGTTGGCTTGGATGGCGCAGCCGTGCGGGTGAGAAATGATCAGATTCTGGATACATTTTGAAGGTGGAACTGACAGCATCTGCTGACAGATTGTCTGTGAGGTGTGAAGGGCTGAGAAACATCCAGGGTTTGGGACCCCAGCATTTGTGGTAATCTTGAAACAGGAGCATAAGTCACATCATTTATTCAAGGGGGCCACCTTTTTAGTTCATTATATGTGTTCCTTTTGTTAATGTTGGAAAGAGCCTCCTCTGAACTAGCCCAGGGTTATTATTTGTACTACACAGCAATAGCCCAGCAATCAAATATCAGTAAAGATTGGAGAAGACGTGGAGGAGCAGGCTCGGAGGGGCAGTGCAGGAGGTCAGTGTCGGACATGTGAGGTTGGACGTGCCAGCTGTTCATTGAGGGTGGAGGCCAGCCAGGAGGCGGGGTACCTGAGGCGGGAGCCCTGGAGGGAGGCTGGAGATAAAAATTTAGGGTCATCAGCGTGAAGGCATTCACACCTTGTACTGAGGTGGAGACCTCAGAGGGAGTGAGTGTGAAGAACAGAGAAGCCATCTGAGCCCTGGCCACTTCTATATTTAGTGATTGGGAAGAGAAGGAGGAATCTGAACAAAAGAAGAAAAAAAAAGATAAAAAGTCTTCATCTCCTGGTGCCTTTAATTTTTTCACATCCATGAGACCTAAAGTAAGAAAGTCGAGAATATCGCTTTCCTTAGAGAGGAACGAAATAGGCATCTGCCATAACATTTTAATCTCACGCCAGAAGGTTTGCTGACTCAGGCTTGGGCTAGGGGCAGCCTAGGGAGCTGCACCATAGAATAAGTTGACTTGTCTCGTGGGTGGTCGTTAGAGCCTGTCTTTCAGGGTGTGACGGGCTTGCTTCTCTGGCTGTTCGTTTCTGTTGCCTCCAGGAGAATAGGAAGCTGTCTTGGGTGTCAGTTTAAAGTTTGGGCACATTGAACTTGATTGGTCAGCAGCGGGACCAGGTCATTAGTGTTTTACAGATCGGCAAGGCCAGTCCTGAGGGGCTCGGAGAATTCGCTGGTAATAGGTAGCTGAGCTCATTTTGCTCCTGTTGGTGCTCCAGTCCCCTGAAGTGGTGTAAGAAAGATCTTTGCTGTGTGAAGGACTTTTAAAAATTTCCATAGGAAATTTATTCCAGGCCTATTTATTCTGGATACACATACACAAAACAAGGGAATTATTTGTCATATTTTTTAAAGAAATATTTTATTGATTTCAGAGAGGGACAGAGAGATAGAAACATCAATGATGAAATCATTGACAGCTGACCGCCTACCTCCTGCAAGTCTCCCACTGGGGCTCGAACCCACAGCCCGGGCATGTGCCCTTGACCGGAGTTGAACCTGGGACCTTTCAGTTCGCAGGCTGACACTCTATCCACTGAGCCAAACCGGCTAGGGCTACTTGTCATATTTTTATTTAGGAGAAAGATACATTTTCCTTTCCTATTCTGTTGAGTGTAATCGGTTTTTAAACCTTCATTTTAATAGCTCACTGATGCCAGCAGCCATCTTCCCAGAGGTGAGGGCAGACTTCAGAGGAAGAATAAAGACCATTTGTTCTAACACCATTATTTAGCTATGGAAGACAGGCTCGGTCATTTACTCAGTGTTACGAGAATGCAGGTGTTCTGAAATCAAGGGACATTTTTAATAGCCCAATATTTTTGGTCAGTTTTATCATGAAATCATTGATCATACAGAGGAATGTATTTATGTATGTGAATTATGAAGCCTAGTAATAAAACAAACCTTTGTGTGCCCACCTCCCAGCTTAGGCCCTCCCTCACCATTACTGAAACTGTGCAGCACCCTGCACAGCCCACCCTGCCCCATCCTCCTGGCCCCTCTCCACACCCATAAGGTCTCTGGAATTTTTTTCCTTATACCCTTGCTTTATAGGGTAGCCCTATAGTCTCTATCCCTACAATATTTTAGTTGTGTTTGCTTTTGAACTTCATAAAAATGTTATCAAAGTTCCCTGTGGCTTGTTTCTTTCTCTCTACATTGTTTCTAAGATTACCCATGTCAATGGGTATATCTGTACTTTATTTTTTCTTATCTATACTAATACAAGGGTAATATGCTAATTAGACTGGACATCTTCTGGAAATCTTCTAGACATCCTTCTGGACAAAGCCACAGTGGTGGGGCCAAGGCAGAGGTGGCTAGGGGTGATCAGGCCGGAAGGGGAGGGCAGTTAGGGGGACATCAGGTCGGCGATGGGGAGCAGTTAGGGGTGATCAGGCTGGCAGGGGAGGACAGTTAGGGGTGATCAGGCAGGGAGGCAGGTGAGTGGTTAGGAGCCAGTGGTGCTGGATTGTGAGAGGGAAGTCTGACTGCTGAGATTGGAGATGGTGCAGGCTGGGCTGAGTGACCCACCCCTACCCTTACCCCCCCCCCCCCCCCAGCCACCGTGCACAAATTTTGTGCACTGGGTCTCTAGTTACTATATAATAGTCACTGTACTTCACCCTGCATCTCTTTACAAGGACATTATCCTAACTATCAGGATCACGTATAAGAAATTAGCAATTCATCCATGATAATGTCTAATCTATAACCCATAACCAAATTTTTTCCAATTGTTTCAGAAATGTCTTTTATGGATTTTTAAAAATAATTAGGTTCCAATCAAAGTCTGTTTCCCATGCCACTGGCTTTTGTTTTGTTAATCCTCACCTGAGGATATTTTTTTCCATTGATTTTTAGAAAGAGTGGGAGGGAGGGGGAGAGAGAAACACATTGATTGGTTGCCTCCTACATGCTTCATGACCTACCAGGCTGGCGATTGAGCCTACAGCCCCCCAGGTATGTGCCCTTGACCAGGAATCAAACCCATGACCCTTCGGTGCGAGGGCTGGTGCTCTAACCACTTAGCAACACCAGTCAGGGTTTCCCTGCCACTGACATTTGAAGCATTTAGGTTAGTTCTCTTAGAGACTATACCTCACACTCGACTCATCTCTATTTCTTCATGATACCAACTAACTTGTTCTTCTGTTGCCTGAATTTTCTGTATATCGGGGGTTTAGGTCTAGAGGTATGATCACATGCAGGTTGAATGGTTTAGGAAAAGTATTCCCATGTACTTGTGTTGAGCACAAAGGTGGCACGTGCTAACTAGCTTGCCATTAACCATACCAAGCTGAATTACTTGGTAAAAATGATGCCTCCCTCACCTCTCCATTGTAAAGGCACATTTCCCCCTTTGAGAGCCATAGCTCACCCTCTTTTGAATAACCTGAAAGTGGGCACATTCGCATGTAATCTTTTGAATATCCAGTTGGTTTCTGTCAATAGCCAACACTCATGTGTAGCCACATATGGAGAATAAGACTTGGTATCCAGCTGGAAATACTGTTTGTTATTTAATTGCAAGTGAACAAGATAAGACCAGTCTTTTAGCGTGATGTGAAGGGTATTTCCAAAAGGGTAATGACACAAGTTTATTTAAAAATAACGGAATAGATGGGCATTGTTGTTACTTCAACAATATTTGTATGCATGTATTTGTTAGCTTTTTTGTTGTTGTTGTTTATTTTTTTAAAGAAGCCTGTACTTTGTTGTTGTTTTTTTTTTAAACCTGTACTTTTACTCATAATTTAGGCAAAAGCTCACTACCTAAGTACATGGGACAATAAAAGAAACTGAGATAACTGCCTGAGGATAGTTCCCCGTCTCCTGACGGCCTCATGAGTAATGTAACTTGTTGGCATAGAATTTACAAAAATGAATCACTATCTTATTGGAATAGAATTAAGGAAAAGTGAATCACACTTCGTAAATGAGATTTCAGATTCCAAAGTCCATCAGCATCCAGAAATGCCTGCCCGAGTTCCCCAGGACTCACTCACCGGGAAGCCGCTCAGAGCAGCAGCCTTTTCAAGGTGTCAGTTTGTGTTCAGAGTTTTAGCCAACCCCCTTCACTCCAGATGACTTGCTTCTATAAATGTCAGGTGACTAAGTTGCATGTTTCCAGGAAAGTGAAATGGTTAGCATCAGATGAATAAATCCACTCAGAACTCAGACTATAAAAGGACAGACTTAAAGAACTGGGTCGGCATCATTTCAAAGTCTCAGTTACTTGTTGGAACCATTGATTGTGCTTATGAACAGTTTAGCCCATTCACTTGGGAGCAGTCAGACTCAGAGGCCCTTGGCTTGTTAGCCCAACAGCACAATTCATGGTGAACGGCCATTGTTTACTTAGAGAGCACTGAGTTCTAAAAACATGTAATGCAATAGTCAGACGGTAAGGAGGGTTAAAGGACCTCACTCTCCTAGCTTCTGTTTTCTTGTGGTGTAGGGGCATGGCAGTGGTGGTTAAAAGATAAACCTCTTTTTTCCCTTAAATTTTTAATTGACATATATATAACATTTGTACCAAAAGGTGCATGACAAATCATCAGTGTATAGCTGAGTGAATTTTCAAAATGTAACCAGATCAGGAAATAGAACAAAACCAGTGTCTCAGAAGCCCTTCTATACACCTGCTCCTCGTAGTCCTTTGCTCTCACTGTAACTATTATCCTGGCTTCTAACACTAGATTCGTTTTGATCCCCACATACACACCACACACACACACAGCCTCTCCATGTGTGTGTATGTGTGTGTGTGTGTTGGCTAGTCTTCAGCAGGATTTTGATTGTAAATCCCTGTATAATTAGTGAGTCTAAGAAGTTACTGATTTATCCAGGGGAATTTTTAACAAGTGCCCTTGGGCCAAAATTGGGAATATGAGAAAAGCAAAGGGAGAACCAGATGCATGGGCTGGTAAGAGACTTCACAGGCAGCCAGCCCCTTGGTGTGGTTTTCTGGGAACATGGTGGAGTGCCCACCCTGGGACGCTGGCAAGGCTGACAAAGAGCTGGAGAGAAGTGATCACCAACAATTCCGTATTTGTTTATGAAGAGGGCACATAGCACCTGTCTTCTGTAGCACTCACTTCTCCAGCTGCCTTACCTTCCCAGAACCCTCCAGGGACCAGGAAGTGGATAAGACTCTGCACTGTCTTTAGGAACAGTCCTGCAAGGCATGAGTTTCTGGTTTCCTGGTTTCTAGCCCATTAGGGGAGGGTGAGGTGGCTGGTTCCCTGGCGAAGGAGAAGTGACAGCTGACAAGCCTAATAAAAGGGTGTGGCATTGAAAAGCCATAAAAATCCAAGAACTCAGAAAGCTTCCCCCCTCCCCCAGGCCAGCACTGTGCGTAGTCACGCTCCTAGTGGGGATCCTGAGTCATTGTGGAGTCAGTTACACCCACGCCCTGGAATGAAAAAACTGCCATGAGAAAGTGATTAGGAACCTGGGTCTGGGTCAGTGGGGATCACCCTGTGCTTGGTATTTGCAGCTGTGTGCCCCCCGGCAGTGTCCTTCCCCTCGTCTGTGAAACGGGGACAGTGGGGCTCCTTCCTCATCGCATTGCTGAGGATTAGATGAGGGTCTGGGTGGCATTCCTTACGAGCTCCAGGCGGATGTTAGCTGTTATTAGTCTTTGACGCTGTGACTGACCAGTAAGTGGAACATCCTATTATTTGGTTACAAATGAGATGTTGCCTTTTAATACACAGCTTGAGGTTTCTTAGTCAGGGCCTCCCTCTGTAAAACACGCCAAGCAACAAGAGAACTGCAGCCTAAAGAATTACTGATTTATCTAGGGGACTTTTTAACAATAACTATCACCCAATAAAATGTGCCCTTGGGCCAAAATTGGGAACATGAGAAAAGCAAAGGGAGGATCAGATGCATATGCTGGTAAAGACTTCACGGGCAGCCAGCCCTGACCACGTGGCTTAGGGATCAAATGCACTTTTAACACTTGTAAGTAATAGAGATGGTTACACTTTAAGCCAATTCATCATATAAATTAAATGGACAAAACCAACCAAGGTGACAAGCAAAGATTCTTAAGAAGAGGCATATATAACGGTTTATTCCTTGAGTCTAATGTTGCTCTGAGCATCACCGTACACCATGCAGATGCACCCACATCCGCTTTGGTCCTTTTCTTTGCTCGTCAGGGGGCTCTGTGTGCTGAAATAGATGACGCATTGTCTGTTTCTTTCTCTCCCCGTTGCTACTTAGATGGCTGGTTTATGAAGAACCAGGGTTTCTGGGTGTCCCATTTGTCCTGGAGCCTGGGGAATACCCTGACTTGTCCTTCTGGAATACAGAGGTGGCCTACATTGGATCCATGCGGCCTCTGAAAATGGTAAGAGTGAAATGTAACTGTGCTTGGAGCGGGCGGTTCTCTGCCAGCCTGACACCATTAATGCGCAGGATGTGACTTGGAAGCAGTGAAGCAGACTAACAAAGCAGAAATAACAGGATTGTTGTAGACGGCGGCGGGAATGGCACCAGCGGTCTGACTGGTGGGTCAGATCAAAATTGGGTTCAGCAACCTTTGTACTTGAGGAGGGTGAGGCGCTGGTTCCCAAATTGTAAGAGAATGTTTACTTGGTAAATCGCAGAGATAGAAGAAGGAATTCCTAGAAGAAATGGGCTTAGGAAACAGGTTATGAAAGGAAGGGCCCTTGGAGAAAGCTAATGGCGCTGTGCCTGGGAGGGCAGGAGAGGGAGAGGAAAGTGGGAAGGGAAGGGGAGGGGAGGGGAGGAGAGGGGAAGGGAAGGGGAGGGGAGGGGAGGAGAGGGGAAGGGAAGGGGAGGGGAGGGACGGCATAGGTGTGCTCCTGAAGAAATGTGCACTCGGGCCTCCATCCCCAGGGTTCTGAGGGTGAAGATTTTAGGGAAGGTCCTAGGGAAAGATCTTAATGGAATATTCCTTAGCCTTCCAGGTGTATCCATGGATGGTTACACTTTAAACCATCCATGGATACAGGGTTGTGGTCTCTGCTGATTGATCGGCCTGCACCAGAGCAGGGCGTTATTTTTAAATGCAGCTGGTCCTGATGTCAGCCGTGGCTGGTTTTGCTGTTTATCTGGGCCTGGAGCTGAAATACACCAGTGACATAGATGCTGTCTCTAGGGAGGAAAGGTCAGGGGTTAAAACCTCATGCTAGGGGAGGAAAGGTCACCCTGGGGGTGAGGTCCCATCCTGCCATTGATTGTCCTTTGCTTTCCACCCTGGTGACCTTCTGAACTGGCCCATGGTCCCTGCTCTGCTCATGTCCGTCTAACTGCCTGCAGCAGGATAACCTGCTATTGTAGATGCTTTAGGTGAAAAAATGTGGAGCCGCCCTGGGCCTCTGCCTCAGGCACTCTCAGCCCTGCGGAGCCCCAGGTGTGTGCACGGGCTTCTGCACAGGGCAGGCTTAGGAAGTAAAGAAAATGGACACAGTTGAACTTTTCTGGAAAAACAGGAGGCAGGACAGATAAACTCCAACTTGTTGGTGATGTGACCGGGAAGGGGATACTTGGGAGGATAAATCGAGCTGTGTCTGAGATGGCTGGTTTTGGATGGGGATGTCAGAGAAGGCCCGGGGAGCTGGGGCAGGGCTGGGCGAGCTGGAGTGATAGGAGGCGGGGCTGGGCGGCAGCGTTGGGGGCACTGGCGCTGGATGTCTAAATGAAGGTTGTCTTCCCAAGTATTTGCCATAGAGAGGGCCTTTTACAACCCCCCATCCTCCCTCCCATGTTGTGCCCTGTTGTCTGGACCCCGTGCTGGACTTTAAGCTTTGGGAGGATCCAGGCTGCCTTGCCCCCGTGCTGAGTGGTGGGTGCCAGGGTGGGTGTGGTGGGCACTCCCTGAACCTGCCCGGCTCCAGGGAGGCTCTCCTTACAGACGTGGCTTTGAAATTCCACTTTGCGGTTGTCTTCTGAGTCAGTTTGAAATAAATGAGAACTTCAGGAAGACAACTTTTTAAATCTTAATCTCACCCCTGCTGCCAGAGCTTGTGGTTATATACTTTGTGTGTTTGCTGGTTTTATTGTAAATGATTAGGGGCTTTTTTCTAAAAGTAAATCCACTCTCAAAGAACAGACTTTTGTTAGTTGTGTGAGTGTATCAGAGAATTGCCCCTAATTTACAAGGCAGTTTTTAGTGGTAATTTATAAAGCTGTGAAGTTGCTAGCATTCGAATTGGATTTCTATTGAAAAGGGTACTTGGTTGTATAAGCTGTAGTTTGTTGACAAAATCAAGCACATTCCTTTATAATTATAGGTCATTTGGTACAGTTGAGCATCATAGGCTGTGCTTTTTATTTGTTTATTTAAAGCTGTTAAATATGTATTGGTGAAAAATATCCAGACTTACCCACTGCTTATTTTAACTTTACCCTGTTTAATATTCCTGTATAAACCCTCTTCTATGTTTTATTTTTAGTGAATTTTAAAGAATGTAAGAAGTTTTTAATTATAAAAGTATAACAGCCCCCATAGGCCTAACAGTTTAATTATTTCAAGAGTCCTCCAGATCATATTGTGAGCTTGTATGAACTTCAACAGTTTTGTAAGCCATGGGTTGCAAAATCAAATGCCTCTGGGAGCAGGGCAGCAAATAGACAGGAGTGAGGCTGGCCGGGAGTGGACCGAGGGAGGGTGGAGAGAGGCAGGCTGGAGCCTGATCCTGGCTGGAGGATGAGCACAGTGTAGGGTTAGTAAGTTCGGGAGGTGAAGTTTGCCGCCTGAGAGAATTTGGGTCCAGAGATGTCAGATCTTAGGACTGTTTCTTAAGAGAAGTGAGAAATACGCATTGTTAAAAAATTGATTTCAGAGAGAGAGAAACATCAGTGATAGAGAATCACTGATCAGTGATTCACAATCGCTGCCTCCTGCACACACCCCCTCCCCACCCCCCCAATACTGGGGATGGAGCCTGCAACCTGAGCACATGCCCTGATAGCGAATGGAACCTCCTGGTTCATAGGTAGATGATGCTCAACCACTGAACCACACTGGCTGGGCTGCATTTTTTTTTTTTTTTTTAATAAAGAAATTTACTGAGTTAAAAAGAAAACAACTAAAAGTTACTGAGTCAGAAAAAAACAGCCATGTAGATGCAGATTACAGGCCAGTCTGTGAGCCTCTGCCCCAGACCAGCTTCCTCATGTCTTCATCTGAGTGCTTGGGAATTTGAGAGCTGTCTCAACCTAAATTTAAACAAACTGGAATGTTCCCTCACTGGGAGGTCTGGAGGTGTAAACTGACATGTGTAATATAAAAAGATAATGTATCACCGAAAAGCCCCTTTCCTCACTCACTGTGTTATTTTCTTTTCAGGGTGGCCGTAAAGTTGAATTCCCTGTAGATCCAAAGGTAAAACTATATATATTTTAAATTTTATTTCCACTCTGTCTCTATGAAGAGAACACTTGTGTGATTTTACAGCTCAGCCCGCAGGAAGTTATCCCAGCTTCCACTGCCATCCTTCTGGCGGGAGGCGCTGCCGAGGGCTCCAGCTGTCGCTGACAGCATGTGCCTCCATGGCTCTAAGGTTCATTGTTGCATCACATTTATATTTTGTAGTTGTATTTACTAATTGTAGGGCCTGCGGCTGCTTGCCAGTTGGTTAGGAAAGAGCTTTCAAGACAAGTTCTCCCAAGTCCAAAGGGCTCTTTCTGCTTCCCACATCGATGACCTATAGTTTGATCTCTAGTTTGTTTCCTTTTTGTAATATTGACTGACTTTCAGAGAGGGAGAGAGAGGAAGGGAGAGAGTGAAACATTGATCAACTGCCTCTTGTATAATACATAGACACACACACCTTCCATTGGGGATCCAGCCCACAAGCCAGGCATGTGCCCTGACCAGGAATCAAACCGGCAACCTTTCGGTGCACAGGACAACTCCCAACCGAGCCACACCGGCCAGGGCTAGTTTGTTTCATTTTAAAAACAAATTATAATAGAACCTTCTGGTTCTTTAGTTTGCCCTAGGAGAAATTCTAAATATCAGATCTAGACATTGACACAAGAACCAATTACTTATAAACTGTCTTTTGAACCTTAGCTTTGGGCTATATCCCGACTGGAAAAAAATTCAGATTTTTAAAATTATAAGATACTGCCATTCATTAATTTTTTAAAATATGAGAAATTTTAATTTGTGTTCCAGGACTTCGTGTTGTTAAATGACTGATTTAACATTTAGCTGTTGAGATAGTTAACGTCTCACAAGTGACTGGTATACCTTATTTCTGTTACAGGTAGTTATTTATGAAAAGCCTTTCTTTGAGGGAAAACGGATGGAACTGGAAACAGAAATGTATAATTTTGTCATGGAAGGAGGCGAAGCAGAAGAAACCGATGGAGAAGCCAGCTTACCGCTGACGTCGGTGGGGTCCATGAAAGTTCTCAGGGGCATGTAAGTAGAGAGGCACGACTGTGAGGATTTCCTTTTTCTCTTTAATCAAGTAATAAACATGCATGACCCCACCCCCAAAAAACATTCCAGATGGTATGGGAGGGAGAATTTCAAATGTGTTCTCCTCAGCCAGTTGTGACCTGGATGGGATAGCAGCATTTGGAGGGGCTATTGGGGTCAGTCAGCTGAGCAAGGCTGGTATATTGGCCCATCCAGATCTGCAATCTTATTTATTAATGTCATGTTCCAAACTATGGAATTGTTGATTTGCTTTTCACTTTTTTATGATCATATTTTGTACTTTTAGATCTTATATATTTCTTTTGGAAGTACACTGCATGTGGTCTTGTAAATAGCCAAAAACATAATATTTTAATTGCTATTTGAAGAAAGTTTATCCAGTTTTATTTGCTGATGTCCTTTTGAGTCAGTTCTTATTAAACACACACACACACACACACACACACACACACGTGTGCACACCACTATCTTCTCCTTTACAGAACATTGATGTATGTTTCTTAGATTGTTTTCTTAGGGCTATTCTGTTAGTCACTTAAATTCTAGAGAAGAATTACCATAATCATAATGACTGAGCCCATCTGGAGCTTTATTTATTTAGTTTTTTTGTTAATCCTGGTGCAAGGATATTTTTCCATTTATTTTTAGAGGGTGGAAGGAAGAGGGAGGGACACAGAGAGAGAAATATCATCTGAGAGAAACACATTGATTAGTTGCCTCCTGGACCAGCCCCGACCAGGGCCAGCGATTGAACCTGCAAACCAGATATGTGCCCTTGACCAGAATCAACCCAGGACCTTCAGTCCATGGGATGATGCTCTCAGGCGTCCTCAAACTTTTTAAAGTGGGGGCCAGATCACGGTCCCTCAGAGAGCTGGAGGGCCGGACTATATGAACTACTAATTCCTACTGTAACACCTCGGCTGCGCTCACTGCCCAAAAAACCTGGCGGGCTGGATCAGACTCCTCTGCGGGCCGCATGTGGCCCGCGGGCCGTAGTTTGAAGACCCCTGCCACAGAGCCAAACTGACTAGGGCCCTTTGTAGCTTTAAAAGTATTTGTATTTGTCAATGAAACTGATATATATATAATGGAAACATTTTAACAATTCTAAGAATTTCTGCTTCATTTTTTTTCTGTTGCAGTTGGGTTGCTTATGAAAAGTCTGGATTTACAGGTCATCAGTACTTACTTGAAGAAGGAGAATATAAGGACTGGAAAGATTGGGGAGGTTACGATGGAGAACTTCAGTCCTTACGACCTATATTAGGTGTAAGTCTAAGAAAAGTTAATGGCTAATACTTGGTGTTTTAGGATAATACACCAAATGGCTAACCTTTGAATTTTGATTTTTTTTTTTTCCTTCTCAATAGGATTTTTCAAATGCTCACATGATAATGTACAGTGAGAAAAACTTTGGATCCAAAGGTTCCAGTATTGATGTATTGGGAATTGTCGCTAATTTAATGGAGACCGGATATGGAGTGAAGACACAGTCTATTAATGTACTGAGTGGAGTGTAAGTGAAATAGCCCAACCTGGATTTTAAACACGGGTTTCACCTGGGTTTGTGTTAAAGTCATACCTTCTCTGACACAGAGAATTAAAGTAAATATTAAATCAGTCCTTTAATACCTACCGACACTATATTTCCATAACTGCTTTTTAAAATCTTGTTTCATTTTATCACGTGTAGTAGAATATTGGAGTAGGCTTTGGGGTTTATGATAGAAATCCACAGATCCTCTTCCCTTGTCATTCTGCATGGAGAAACCTCATGAATTTCTTGTGATGGGAATCAAGTAATAACAGTGATCTAACATGAAAGACCTGAGGTTGGGACAGAGTCCCATTCCATTTTCCTGTGGCCCCACACCTACCCCATTATATAATATTTCTCCACTATTATTTTGACATAAAACTAATCGTTTCAATGTCCCTGGAGTTAGCAATTGAATGCTTTAATAATGCAAAACTAAGTTTTTATTGAAAGATGATTAGTCAAGACACTTTGGGATGCAAGTGACTGCAAGCCAACCTTGTGATGGGAATGGAACTCACTGGCCTACATAAGTGAAATGTCCTGCGGAAGGTTCGCTGCGGTCATGGCTAGAGGCAGGGGCTCAGACACCATCATCAGGACAAAGACGTGGTCTCTCTCTCCCCCCCCCCCTTTCCCCCCCTCTCCCCTCTCCCCTCTCCCCTCCTCTCTCTCTCTCTCTCTCTCTCTCTTTCTGTGTTGACTTCACCTTAGCAGGCCCTTCCCTCTGGCGGCCCCTGGTAGCGCCCTCTAGCTTTTGTTCTTCCATCTCACTACCTCCAGTGAAAAGGGCTTCTCTTTCCCACAGAAGTTCCAGGTGTGACTTTGCTTCTGTGAGCTTGAGTCCTGTGAACCTGCCTCAGTCTGTCACCGGAGCCAGGGAGATGGCTGTGGCTGTGCTATGTGCCCATCGTTGGAGCTGAGATGTAGTTTCAGCCCTCTAGGAACCACTTATATATGATTGGTGTGAGCAGCTCCCGAACATCAGGAAGAATGGGCACAGATACTGGATGGGGACAGGGGGAGGAAGGTGTCTGTCAAAAGGAATTCTGCCATTATTCTTATGAGCCAGGCTGATGTCAGTTATAATTTGTCATGAGTGAGAGTATTCTTAAACGGTTATATGAAATCATTTGACACTGGTTCTGCTGAAAGTGCTTGATGTCTGTTTTTTTATGTCAGGAGTAGTACAAGGCCATTTGAATCATTCTAACCTCAGCTCCATTGCACTTCATGGGGCCTTCTGCAGACCACTGGATATCTGAGCTGTGTCTCAGTGTGGTGTGCTGCCTGCCCCCGTGAGTCATGTCTACCAACTCCTTGTATAGGTTGTTGCTTGTGGCTCTCTTGGCAGAATGACAACAGGGGCTTCTGAGGCTTCCGTTCTTAACAGGAAATACGGCCTACTGGGTCCTGTTCTGGAGCCCTAACATTTTAGAATCTGCCACAGGTACAAGGAATGGTATGGCAGAAGTCCTCTGAAATACTGCGGTGGCAATATTTAAAGACGGCCTTTGAAGTATTTAGAAGAGAAAGACAGTGGCCAGGTCCAGGCGGCAGTTGTACATTTTGATACTCAGCAGGTGTATTGGTTCAATTAGTCAGAGCCCAGTCATGCAGCCTAGAAGCGGAAGCCGACCAGGCTGGGCAGAATTTCCCTGAGGCATTTGTGTAGATTCTGCCGTTGACGCAGATAAGAATTTCTGTACCTCTGCCAGTCTTTTCTTTCTTTTCTTTTACCCAGCCCTTGTTTATCTGAAATCACTTTTCTTTATGAAATGTTGCTTTCATGTGTTTCTATTTTTAGTCATTTCTAGTAGCATTTCCTGGCGTAGGCTCTTGTTCTGGGTGTAGCAGTTGAGGTTTATTTTGAAGGGAGGCATGCGTACCCACACCACTTCCTTTCAAATGTGTGGCTGTGGGAAGGGCCGGCTGCTTCCTCATATTTCATTGGTCGTTTGACAAATATTTATTGAGGTCTATTATGTGCACAGCATTATATTACGTCCTCAAAGAAGTTACAGTATTTACATAAAACATAATGATTGCTACAAAAGACCTAGGGATTAAGTGCTTTGAGCATCCACATCAGAAGGATTAATTCCCAGTTTGAACTCAGGGACGACTTTAGAGGCTTTAGCACTGGAGTTGGGGCTCGTGGGGCGGGACAGTAGAGCTGTGCCAAGATCTGAGGATGGAAGACAAACCTACTCACATTAAATGGTTTCAAAGAAAAGTTGTCCTATGACTCTATTCTTATTGGTAAATAAGCATTTTAGTTTGGTTCTTTATTTCCTAGTATGGAATGCAAAGTCAGGGGAAAAAACTTTTTTAAGAGTCTTGCTCTGTGAGTGTTTAAGCTGGTCCCTTTACATAGCACATTTGAAATCTAAATATAAAGTGTGTGGCCTGAAAGGAGACTTTACAGGGCAAGTGGCAGTTCGGGTCAGGAAGAGGAGAGAACTGGTGAGCCTCAGGAGACTCAATCATAGGTTCGATCATGCCTGGCCACTAAGTGATGGTGTCACCTTGGACGAGTCACTTCCCATTCAGAACAAACACCAACAAATAATTCCATGAGATGCTTCTTATTCATCAGTTAGCTTTGGAGGGCAAGAATTTTCTTTCAAATTTGCATACCTTGTGCTAATCTATTGAGTAGTTCCTGGCATATAGTAAGTGGCTAATGTGTGTTGAATGAATAAGTGAATTAACTTTTAATAAATGAATTAGATGTGAAAGCATTCTGGAAAGTTCTTAGTATGCATACAGGCATATAGGTATTAATCCTTTAAGCTGTGAGAGGATCTGGAGGGCAATGAGTTAACTGAGGGGCAGATATTTGAATGTAACAGAATTAAAAAACTTTCTTCCTCTCAAAGGCTTTTATCTTTGGATAGGAAATAGCATCTAAGAAGTGGTTTTGTTGATTTCCCTCTTCGAAGGTAGATCACTTAAGAGATAAAGGAAAACATTCCAAAGGGGTTTGACTTTAGTATTCTCAAGCATTTGATCAATTTTGCTTATTATATAGTGTGTCATGTTGGAAATCTGGCTTAAAACAAAATTTTGGTATTAATTTCTTCTGTCAACTACCCCCTCTGCCCCCGCCCATTGTGGTTTGTAGTGTAGAGACTTAGCTTCCTGTAATACCAGTGGGCTCAGTTGTTTGTATGAAAAATAATACAATCTATAATAATAAAAGCATAGTATGCTATAATAATTAGACCGGACATCCTTCCTGACAACCTTCTGTATGAAGCTAGGGTGGCAAGGGAAGCCTGGGTCCCAGGTGCCTGCCAGCGGCCAGGGGAAGGCCTACTCTTGCATGAATTTCATGCACCGGGCCTCTAGTAATTAATAATTAATAGTACAAGAATAAACTCTTTCGTATACTGACACCTGTAGACCTATCCCCCCCCCCCCACCCAGTATAATTCTGGAAAAGAAATTTATTTATTTATTTATTTTAAATATATTTTATTGATTTTGTACAGAAAGGAAGGGAGAGAGATACAGAGTTAGAAACATCGACGAGAGAGAGTCATCGATCAGCTGCCTCTTGCACACCCCCTACTGGGGATGTGCCCGCAACCAAGGTACATGCCCTTGACCGGAATCGAACCTGGGACCTTTCAGTCCCCAAGCCGACGCTCTAAGGAAAGAAAATTTAATGTGGATAACAAAAAGAAGTCATACTTGCCTACTAAAAGAACTTTGGCAGCTACTCCTTGAAAGTCTCAATTGTTTTCTTAGGATAAAATTAGAAATACAGACATATCCTCATTGGCACTTTCTCAAGGCAGAGGCTTGGGTAAGTTTGAGGACACCCAAAAGGGTCTCACAAAGATACTCATTCACTTGCCACTTTGATTTCTAATCCAGACAAATCTATCTGCTCTTAAAAGATTAATGGAGAATCAAGAAAATTATTAAGGTTGCTGATTGGTGAAACAAATGAAAGTTTCTGTATGATACAGTTACTCAGAAGTGTTTGATGGTTATTATATATGTAAACTAAGAACTATGACTTACCAGTGTTTTGTCTCTTTAGATGGGTAGCCTACGAAAATCCCGACTTCACAGGAGAACAGTATATACTGGATAAAGGTTTTTATACCAGTTTTGAGGACTGGGGAGGAAAAAATTGTAAGATCTCTTCTGTTCAACCCATATGTCTGGTAAGAAGTTACATTTTTGTATGAGAACACTCAACTGAAATTTGCATTTCCTTAATGTGTGATTCTGGTTCATGTATACTTAACTCTACAGAAGCAATGCCAATATTATTTTTAACAGTAATTGCTAATCTGGAATAAAAATGTATTTTAAGAAGTCTGCTCTACTTATTTCCTTCTCTCTTCCCTTTAAAACACTTTAGGATTCTTTCAGTGGACTAAGGAGACGAAATCAGGTAACTTAAAAAAGTATTCTATCTTTATAATTAGGGGCCATCATTGAAAAGTTGAACATACATGTAAACCTTCAGACATTTGGGAAATTTTGTTAGTTTTAACCATTTTTGTGCCTGGAAGTATAATGATTTTTAAATTAGATTTAATTTTTTAATGCTTGATGGCATCTAAATACTTATAAAATGGTCTCATTATGTAATGTTAAATTTCATTAATTTTTTAAATTTAGCTTTATTGTTGAAAGTATGACAGATGTCCTCTTTTTCCCCATTGACCCTCTCCACTCTACTCCAGCCCCCCTAAATTTTTATATCATTATATTGAATAAGAGTTTACATAAATATACTAAAACATTTCAAACAATATAGTTATTGCGATAAACAGTACAAGTTTTCGTATTTGCTGTGTCTGCATTAGACAAACATTTTATATGGTCTCCAACATGGTCTCTCACTGAAGCCATTACACTTGTTATTTGGGTTTTTAATGGAAGTGTTCAGACAGCCTTAATTACAGAGGCACAAACACCACTGTAGCCTCCTTTACTGGCATACACAAGATTCTAATAAGTCAGCAAGTATCTTCCATTGAGAGGGAGGAAAACTATAGTGTTTCCAAAATACAGTTTCTTGTTAATGTTAGAACTGATGAACAATTACTTTTAGCCACAATAAAGCTTTAAAATGCCTCCTGGCTTGTTAGGACAGGGTGTGCTATAGAAAGCTGCCTCTATTGTTGGATTGTCCTTTGATGTCTCTGAATTAAACAGTTGTGAATGGTACAGCCAATGATACTTTAATTTTTAATATTAATGTAGAAGTAGAAAATTAAAGGATTTATAAAATTCACGTCAGTTTACTGTATCAAGCTAACAGGTCATGGTTGGGTCATCATTTCAAAGGCTGATTGAGTTAATGTGTCTGCAAAATGATTTTATGTATTTCCATTTACTTTTTCCAAGATTCACTTGTTTTCGGAACCACAGTTTCAAGGTCACAGTCGATGCTTTGAAGAAACAACAGGTCAAATTGATGATTCATTTTCTACCAAGTCTTGCAGAGTTTTAGGAGGCAGGTAAGCAAAACAGTGGACTGGCAGACCCTCATCACCGGGGAACATAGAATTCACACGCCAGCAGTATTTAGTGACACCTTTAGATGCTTGGTACGAGATGAAACCGCCACATAGTAGTAGACCCTGGAAATACTAAAGTATACTCTGCAGCACATGAGTGCTGGACACAGAGGACCTGGAGATCAGAGTGGGTTGGGGAAGTTAAAGATTACCATTTCATGGGGTTTGGACCAGGTCCTGTACTTCCTAGGCCTATCCCATCATCCATAGGGGACTCTGAATAATCTCTAAGGCACCTCCCGAGGTAGGTTTCTTCAGGTGGATCGGAGTAGGATAGGCATTCTGCATGATGGGCGAGTGCATGGCTGCAGTGGAGTTGGTGTGTATGCTGACCAGGAGCACACACCCTCTTTAGCTGGGAGGGCTTTGGACTGGGGAGGAGAAGCAAGTCTGGAGGGTAGGATTAGGCCAGGAAAGCGCCCCTTGAGCATATGAGCTTAAATAAATGCCATGGGAAACACGATGGGAAAGGCAATGAGCTCAAAGTGCCATGCTGAAAACTGGTTCAAAAGCTTTAGAGAGGGGAGAGCTCAAGGTCAGAGCAACCTGTGCCAGGGTGATGAGGAATTCTGTCTATTAGTAATAGTAATAGTGCCTTTACTTACATATTGTAGTTCTCTATGGTCTGAACAGCACCGTCGTAAGAGTAGAAAGAGGACAGCACAGACTTTGCATTCAAATGCAGATTTACAGTAAAACGTCACTGTCACTAAACACATCCCTCCACCTGTCCTGGTTCCTCTTTATTACCTACCTACTTCATTTATTACCTTCAGACATATAGTTTTTTTGTTCATTTATCATCTTTCTCGGCTCACTGGAATGTAAACTTCAAGATAGCAAGGACTTCGTTTTGGCTTCTGTTCTATCCCCAGCAATGGAAAAGTATCTGACACACAGTCTTTGATAAGCATTTCTTGGATTAAAAACAAAACAAAAAAAAACCACTCTTCTAGACAAGCTGGTACATCACCATTTTATCAATAATGCGAGGCCCAGAGAGGCTAAGTGACTTGTGTAAGTCACTGGTATTTTGACTCCTGGCCTAGTGCTGAGGTGTGGGAAATGAGAAAGGAATGTGAGAAATTTTGGGAGGAATCAGCAGATCCAGTTAACTGACTAGTTGGGAAGGCTGCAGGATTATTGAGAGGACTCCAGGGCTTGACAGCACCTCATTGACTGGAAGGATGTGGTGTCATTAAGAGGAGCAAGGAATGCTGGCAGGTGGGGAAGAAAATCATGAATTATCTCATGGAGAGAGAGGTTATATTTCCCAACTGCAAAACTAACAACTGACTTATTATAAATATTTGTCACAAGAAATATTCAGAAATGTCGCAGAAAATATAGATATTTTTGACGAACACTGTTAGCCACAAGCATTATTTATTTTATAGCAGGCTACCTCTAAAATCAGGTTTCTTGAATAAGAATACTCCAATTACGTGTGTGTGTGTGTGGTTTTTCCTATGTAGCTGGGTTGCATATGATGGAGAAAATTTCTCTGGTAACCAGTATGTGCTGGAAGAAGGCCACTACCCGTGTCTCTCTGCAATGGGATGCCTGCCTGGAGCAAGTGTGAAGTCTCTTCGTTTTATAGATGTTGTAAGTATGTCCGTGTGAATATCTCGTTATGGAGATGCATGGTTCACATAGCTGATGGCCAGAGTAGAAAGCAGCAGTTAACTCCAGGCTTAGAGTTGGAGACAGAAAAAAACAGGTGCCGTAGAACTTTCTATCCTGTAACTTTTAATCTTTTTAGATGTTAAACATATAAATTGTTTTTGCTTGCCATTTTCTTAGACTTCAGGTGAAGTATTGACTCAGTCATGGCACACAACCATCATAAGTTAGTTCAGGCCCCTCTCCTGTTTCTTCCCATTTTATACCTGATCCCTACCCCATTTTATACCTGATCCCTACCCATGGGATGTGTGAGGGATACAATGTGGACATTCTTATAAAACATATGTTTTCAGAAAATCTGTATGTAGGCTTCTTAACGTTTCTATTGATTTTAGAGAGAGCAAGGGAGAGGAAGAGAGCGGAAAAGAGGAACATCAATGAGAGAAGAGATTGATCGGCTGCCTCCTGTACACCCCCTGTGGCATGTGCCCTGACCAGTAATTGAACCGGCTAGCTCTAGGCGCATGGGACCATGCTCAACCAACTGAGCCACACCAGCCAGGGCTATGTACAGGCTTTTGATTTATATACAGTATTACGCTATAGTTCTCACTGCATTATAAACATAACGATACTTACATTAAAATTTTTAAAGAGCTGTCCATTATGCTGTATGTACATCTCATTTATTGATTCTAACTGATGCAAATATCCCATCACAATGCTTTACTTAATTCTCCTCTGTGCCTCTCCATGGACCTGTGGGGCTCTCTTGGGCATGTATATAAAAAAGTACATTTGCTGGGATTGTGTGCATGAATATGCAGCTTCACTAAGTCCCGTTCTACCACTTCTGATTCTTGTTGGCAGTGTGTGTGGGTTTGTTTTCCACATTGTTTGCCATTACTGAGTATTCTGACTTTCTAACTTTGGAATGAATTGGGTAGAAAGTATTCTCTCACTGTTAATTTGCATTTTACTATTAGAGAGGTTGGTATCTCATATACTTATTAATCATTTGGGTTTTCTGTTCAGTGAATTGCCTATTATGTCCTTTGCTCAGCTTTTTATTTTATAGTTTCCTATATATCTTATTATTTTGCAAAAATTCCTTATAGTTTTAAAATGTATTGCTCTTTGAGATTTGCAATCGAATGACTCCTCCAGATTTATCATGTGTGTCCCTTTGAACAGAAATCTTTCACTTTAATGTAGTCAAAGCAATATTCAATGGGAAACTTCAAGATAATGTTCAAATGTTAGTCTGAGTGTGTAGTTTTGGAAATATTTTAGTTTTTGGTAGCTGATTTCTCATTAGAAGCTTTAAACATACCCGGTTTCCCCGAAAATAAGACAGTGTCTTATATTAATTTTTGCCCCAAAGATGTGTTAAGTCTTATTTTTAGGGGATGTCTTATTTTTCCATGAAGAAGAATACGGTACACATTTATTGTTAAATGAAAATAAAGGAAATTTATTACCTGTATACAGTACGGTAGTACGGTAGTTGTCAACACAAACCAGACAAACTGAATCCTACAGTACCAAGAATTTACTCATTTATTCAATGACAATCCTGTCATCATCTTCTGGAACATCATCATAACAATCCAATTCCTGAATTTCCTGGTGAATTTCTTGTGACTCCATTTCTTTCAGAACCAGTGGACCAAATCTCTCATGTTTAGCCTGGGGGGGGCCTTATTTTCGGGGGATGCCTTATATTTCACTCAGAAGGAAACTGTAAGTAGGTCTTATTTTTGGAGGATGTCTTATTTTCGGGGAAACATGGTAGGCAGTTGATTTTAGGCAAGAATTGGCTTTATCTCATCCTTTCCTGCCTGTTCAAATAACTGAAGCTGACCTTTCTTGAGACGTGAAAATAGTAGCAATGGAACATGGGATGATGTGGTACCATTCATTAGCTCACAGATGCCATACAAACCACCTCTGAACATTAATGTGCTATTTACTGGTCAACAGAATCTTCGTGTCAGAGCACATTCACATAAATGAAGCAAGTCCCACATCCTTGCCACAAAACTTGAAGCAGGTAGTGAATTTCTGATGATCATTTATGATTTTAGGATTATCATCATTAGAGCTTGGTCTAGGGCCGTGGTCAGCAAACTGTGGCTCTTTGGCCCCTTGAGTGTGGCTCTTCCACAAAATACTATGGCCTGGGCGAGCCTATTTTGAAGAAGTGGTGTTAGAAGTTTAAGTTTAAAAATTCTGGCTCTCAAAAGAAATTTCAATCGTTATATTGTTAATATTTGGCTCTGTTGACTAATGAGTTTGTCAACCGCGGTCTAGGATCATAAGGGTCTATAATTTGAAAATGAGTTTTAATGTATAGCTTCCATCCAGTAGTTTTCCTTCCTAACAATATTTCTATAGGAAAGTTTGGGAGCATACGTGCACAGAATCATTGTCTGTTGACAATTAAAACAAAAAAGACAGTTGAAAATGCATACAAGGAGGTTCCTGACTAGCAATTCCACTAGACTGCAATAGGCCTCTGACCCTCACCATTTACACCCATAGCTTTCCGTTTCTAGCCCCTCCTTATCCTAATAGAAAATGGCAGGACTGAAAATAAATTCATTAGCTGGGTTGATATTTCAGACTCATATACCAATTCCTTTGAGACATCCCCCATCCTTTATAGCACTATTTACATTTACCTGCCTTTATATGCAGTAGGAAAATTTCCTGTCCCCACTTCCTTCCTCTTTTTAGCTCTAGAGTGTATAAACACCCTGACTTCCTGGGAAAGGAAGCTTATGACAGGCCAACATCTCGTGACCTGTCCTTGTAACAAGACGATTTTCTAATAAGTTCAAGTTACTATTAAAAATGAGTAACATTATCATTGTTCCTAAACAGGAATTTTCTGAGCCAACAATTATTCTTTTCGAAAGAGAAGACTTCAAAGGAAAAAAGATTGAGCTTAATGCAGAAGCAGTCAATCTCCAATCCCTGGGATTCAATACACAGATACGCTCAGTTCAGGTGATCGGTGGCATGTGAGTTACCTACTTGTTCATTCAATAAGAGATGATTTTAAAGAATAAGTCTGATCATATTTCTTTTTCTCCTACATTACCTTAAAGTGACACAAACCCACCTATTTTCTGTAAGGGTTAATGATTATGCACCTTCATATTGGACTTTTCCCACTGGGAAGAGCCAGGTATGAAGACTCTCTCATCAATTCCTCCAGGCTTTTAGTTTACTTCAGGTAAGGACTTGGTCTTCAACACTTCAAAGTTTCTAGGAGAACACTTTGCAAAACAGTGCTCTGAATTTACTGAGCACTTTCTAGCAAGTATGAGAGAGCTCGTTTTCCTTTTCCCTTTAAAAGACCAAGTCCTTTGATTTTGGATTAAGGGCTGGGGTTTTCCTTTAACTAGGAGTGACTACCAGATGCTGCGCATGCTTAAAGGTCAATATGGGAAGATTTTTCTCAACTTTGAATAACTGTGAAATGAAGATATAAAAATGAGTAAGAACTATCAATGTAATAAATGTTTTTAAGGAAGTATTTTTGTTTCACTTGCAAAAATAGGTATAGTCTGCCTGTATGCATCAAGTGTTGGAGGGGACTATAGCTGTTTAAAAAACATTTGGGTGCTTTAGAGTTCCAGGATTAAAAGTCGAGGACATTCTTCCTCGGTAACACATGGGCCCGCGGAAGGCCTCTGGGTCACGCACAGGCCATGGCATGCAGGAGCGGGGTCATGCACAGGCCGTGGCGTGCAGGAGTCCACAGCCTTCAGGCGTGGGCACCAGCATCCCTAGGAGACCAGAGTATCTTTCGCAGTTTTCTGGACGGAGGAAGATTCCTCTCATTTTAAACAAAAATTTGAGTTATTTACTTTTAGTTAAATAACCCTTTAGTATTTACCATATGCCACACAAGAATTTTACAAATATTAACTATTTAAATAAAAGATCCATAATTACAACTGGAAATGTTTTATAAAAAAAGCTCACAGGAATACTGGGCTGTCCCACTAAAACTACAATCTCTATTTCGTTGCTCAGGTGGAGGAAAAGCCTTACCCATTTCTTTTTAAGAATGGTTCTTTTTAGCATAAATATGTACCAAGAATGTGCTACTTCTTGAGAAAAGGGTGCTTGAGTGTTTTAGAAACTAAGGTAGTCGCCCCCCCCCCTTCTGCCAATGTATATTGTAAGTATAAAGCTCAGTCTAACAATTGAAACATCCTAAAATATAAATGGATATTGCCACTTACTTGTGGTTATCTATTTTTCCAGATGGATTACTTATGAATATGGCAATTACAGGGGTCGGCAATTCCTACTGTCACCAGCAGAAGTACCTAATTGGTATGAGTTCAGTGGCTGTCGCCAGATAGGTTCTCTACGGCCTTTTAATCAGGTATTTTCTTCCTCTCCACGCTTGAATACTCTTCTCTGATTTTTAAAAAAAAATGTAATTTAACATTTTAGTTTCAGTTTGAAATTTGCCACTCCCATGAACTTCTAAATTTGGGCTGTTTCTAACTGCTTTCAGAAATGCTCTCGTGTCTGACATTAAATCGTGGTGCGTCCCAAACTCCCAGTGCTGGCTCCCTGCCCCAGGCAGGCTCCCTGCCCCAGGCACTTCTTTGACATTTCACCGAAATCTTCTCAGGGAGAAAATCCTAAAGCCTCTGGGGCTCTTGGGTATAGAAATTGTCCCTAATACAACCTCACCTTGGATTCTGCCCTTGTTGTTGATGCTTGTTCAGAACTTCTAATAGTACAACGTACTTCTGATCATTGCTGGGTTTTGTCTTCTAGAAACGTATTTATTTCAGACTTCGGAACAAGGCAACAGGGTTATTCCTGTCAACCAACGGGAACTTAGAGGACCTGAAGCTTCTCAGAATACAGGTCACGGAGGACGTCGGTGCTGACGATCAGATCTGGATTTATCAAGAAGGATGCATCAAATGCAGGGTGAGCTTTAGGATAAGACAAAGGTTTATGATAGCATCTTTCAAGTTAATGATTTCCTGGACCACCTTCAAAAATAAATTAGGTTTTCCATGAAAATATTTCTTAGCTCTTATAGAACCAGTCTATGAACGTAAAATGGGAGTAAATCTAACTCTCATCCAAGAGAGTACTGGTATCTTTACTTGATTTTTATATAGTAACATTCGTGCACTGGGGGGAGTCCCTCAGCCTGGCCTGTGCCCTCTCGAAATACGGGACCCCTGGGGGATGTCCCCCTGCCGGCTTAGAAAATAAGGTAGTCCCCCCCTTTCCCGCCAGGCAGACATCCCCCGAGGGGTCCTTAGCACTGCCATGGAGATGGGAGCGGTTCCTACTGCAGCCGCTGTGCTCACCAGCTGTAAGCCCAGCTTCTGGCTGAGTGGCGCTCCCCCTGTGTGAACGCACTGACCATCAGGGGGCAGCTCCTGCATGGTCAGTGTACATCATAGCGACTGGTCGTTCTGCCATTCAGTTGATTTGCAGATTAGGGTTTTATTATATAGGACAGAAAATTATATAGGAATTTCTACTAGGTATAGAAACCAACTGTAAACCCCAGCATTATCAACAGGTTACTCTTGGTTTGCTTCCTTTTTGGAGGATCTCAGACTAGAATTTAGGGTGAAGAAGTCCCAGCTTGTGCACCATTTCCACATTGGCACACCTTGAGAATGGAAAATGCCCCACCTCCCTCCTATCACTCCTCCAAAACACACAATTACGGCTGCAATGAGTAAGAGTTTATAAGAGGAGCTCATGCTTCTGTTGCAGATATTCTTTGTAACTTCCTGATTTTATGGGCTTGGCTGTTTGCTCCCGATTTTTTTCTAACTGTGGTGCCCCATGAGTCAGCAGAAGGCACAGAGCCTGTGAAAGGCATGTTAATTCGGCCTGTGGGGCCTGAGGGACAGGCATCCTTCCAGTAAGCATAAGGGCTGTTTAGACTTGCACAGAAGGAATAGTAAGAGCTGTGATAGAAAAGCACAAAAAGCCAATTTCTGCCTTTGAATTATCTTAAACGATACAAGAAAATGGAGCCTTTCATCAGTTATTTCTAACAGATATTTTGGTGATGTTATTTAATGACTTTGAACTGAGTAGGCCAGTGAGAAGTGAAGTAGCCTAGATCATCACAGTCCTTATCTCACATAGAAGAGTACTTTCCAGTTCTCTCCATGAGCATTTTCATCAGCGATCTGTGTTAGGGTAATGTGAACATGTAACACCATACACTGTTTATATATTGAGAGCAGATTCACTTCAAGAAGGACCCATAAAATTCCTACATGAAAAGACCTTTTATAGTATTGGTATTTTCTTCTCTTTTTAATGGTTGGCTAGCATGCCTTTTTAGAAAAATTTGACATTTCTCATGAAGAAAAGACAAGATAAATAAATGGAATTTCAAGGTGTAAAGTGACAAAATGCCCATTTAGCCATGTTAGTGCTACAATAGCCTTCAAAATTAGAGGTGCAGCCACATTCTATTATAGAAGGCTCTGGCTGCACAAAGGTGGTTCTGTGGGGGTAGGTTTAGTGGAATGACCAGCCTTGGAGGACAGTCATTTCTGGGAGGGAAAACCATCATGAGGGGCAGCTTTGATGTTCTCAGGCTTCTCTCACTAGTAAGACAGTCTCCCAAAGGGCAGAAGTCCCTTGAAATGGATAAGAACAGAGAACCCTCTGTCACTAGTAACACCTGAACTAAAGGGCATTAGGGTGAATGAAGCCAGGATCTAGGGGGCTTTAAAAATCAGCTTAAACAGGGAACTGATCACAGTGACACTTGAATGTGTGTTCCTAAGACACATATCTCTGTACCAAGCAGATAGCAGAAGACTGCTGCATGACGATCGTGGGGAGCCTTGTCACTTCCGGCTCCAAGCTGGGGCTGGCCCTGGACCAGAGCGCAGAGAGTCAGTTCTGGAGCATGAAGTCTGATGGAAGGATCTACAGCAAGCTGAAGCCAAACTTAGTTTTAGATATCAAAGGTAAGGCTCGTTCCCTTTATCTTCTTGGTTATGCCTTTTTTTTAGTTAACTAAAAACCTATTCTTTTGAAAATGGTGAGCACTAGTATAAATAGTAAGAGATCTTTCACTATGTTAGCCTCTGTGCTAAACACTGTGCATTGTCATGTAATCTTCACAGCAACCTATGTTATCCTCTCCCCCCCCCTTCGCATCCCACTTTACAGCCCCCAAAATGGAGGCTTAGAGGGGTTAATCCATTTGGCAGAAAGTGTTGAGGTAGAATCTGGACATGGACTGTCTTCAAGCCTTTTATTTTAACAGTGTGAGACTGAAATCACAAGCCAAAAGGCTGCAAGATAGAAGAAAGTAGATGTAAGATTCAGAGAATGAATGGTAATATAAATATACCTCCTTCACATTACATTGGATACAAAATCTGTCATTTGTGGACATTCTACAAATGGCCAACTGGAGGTTCTGACTGGTTAATTACAGAACTAGACCCTCCTTGATTATTTTCATCAACCTGTTCAACTGGCACTTCTGTGTCTATACAAGATAGTTTTAAAACCTCCAAAGAAGCCAAAGAAAAGTGACTAAGTTGGAAGTGTGGATTATTTTTGAACACATGGATTCATGTCCGGGGGTAGGGCCACTATAATCCTTATGAGTAACTTCTTGGAGCATTTCTTCTTTTGTTCTTTCAATCTGTATTTACTGGGTACTCACCAAAATGGGGGAAAAGATACTATCTTGGCTTTAGAGGGCTTACCTTCTAGAAGTGCTAGGCATACAGGACTTTCCCCCACTTTCTCCATTAACAACTGACCCGGGAGTAAGGACACCTGGCTTCTAGTTTTACTCTGACAAGAACTATGGGACTCTAGGAGGTTCCTCCTTAGGACTTTGAGTTCCAGAGTCCCTTCCTAAAATGCCTTGAAATTAGCCAAATGCCTCTTGAGTAAGGATACTGTCTGTATGCTTGTGAACGCTCAGTCTATCTAGTATGGTAGCTGCATTAGTCACTTGTTACGCGGAATTTCTCAGAATGTGGGAGAATGGTGCCATCTTGTGGACATGAGGGCCACATCCCACGGACTGCTAAGGAAATGCAAATACACCTCTTTGGTGCACTTTATAGGAAACTAATTTTCATTAGCTATAACTGTGGAACCATTTGTTACCTAGTGATGTTATTAGACCTGTCTCCTAGTGTCTGGGGAGTGAGTTGTTTGGGTAGACAATCGTGTATTGTTCCAGACCACAAACATGACAATAGTGGGTGCTGATTCATGCTCACTTTAAAAACATCAGATGTATGGGCTGATTTTAATTCTCCCAAAGGAAGAAGAATGAATCAGTTTACTTCTCAGGAACTTTATGATTCGAAAATAAGTTAAAATGCTATAATCTCGAAGAAGGGAAAGAGGACATTGGGACCTTGAGAGGGCACTTCCAGAAATCGCAATGGGCACAGTGGGATTTACTGCAAGAGTACACATAGAAGGCCCAAGCACACTGCCCTTGTATTCTATGCTACACCTACGTGTGGAGGCTCTAGACCAGTCAGCAAACTGCGGATCGCGAGCCGCGGTGTGCTGCTCTGTTGACAAATGAGTTTGCCAACCACTGCCTTGGAAAAACACTTAAAAAACATTTTAATGATGTACTAATGTCTTTAACCTGAAGTCAAAACTTCCCGCTATATCAGGTCTGCCTGCTTTTTCCTCACTGGTACCTCGAATCCTTGACCCCACCACTGAATATATTTCAGTCTCTGCTCCTTTTCCCTTCTCTATATTTTTCCCTGTGCCCCCAATATCAGGCACCTTAATGTCTGTGGAGTAGGAAAAGGAGCCCAGGAAGTAGGAGATCCTGAGTGGAGCTGCTGGTGCCTTATGGGACTTGAACACATTTACCCCCAGTGACTGAGCCTGTCTGCGCCTGTCAGACTGGGCACTGGGCAGGGCTCTGCTCCTGCGTTGTTTCATGCGGCACATGGCTTTGCCCCTGGTTACTTCTACTCATAACTCTGTGCTGAGGTACTGTCTGCAGCCCCTTCACGGAGGGCACATTCTTCATGTTCTCCTTTTTTTCAGGGGGTGCACAGTATGATCAAAATCACATTATCCTCAACACAGCCAGCAAAGAGAAGCTAACACAAGTGTGGGAAGCCATGGTCCTATGATCCTGGACAAAGAATGCAGGAGGACTATTTCTGGAGGTTTCCAGCTACCTTGTTTAAAGGGAAAAGGACTGCTGACAGGAACCAAGAGGAAAGCGGATGTACTCCTTGGCAACTCCAAATGCACTCTTGAACCACAGTGCCAGGACCGGGACAACTGTCTCCTCTCTTCAAAAGACTAATAGTTTTAAACCAATAATTTGTTCTTTCACTTCTTGCCTGTCAGTTCCTTTCAGCAGCTGCTTAAACAAGTTTCATTAGCAGCGCTGGGGTGTTTTTAAAAAATCTTAAGACTTTAAGACTGTACATTTTACAAGGTTTCCAAAGACAGTGGCGGGAAAGAACAGGAACAAATTCACCGGCTTGGTGAACCTACAGGTGCCTTACACTTTAAAGGGAAGGGGAAAAGCTTAAGTCCGTAAGGTAGAAACTGTTTAGACCTTAGAAGAAATAATGTTATTAGGCCTCTAGGATTAGTCATTGACCTTCTGTTTTCTGAAATCATTAATTATGCTGTATAGCCAAGTGGAAAATTATATATTCAGACATGTTAAGGAAATGAATGAGTACAGATAAAACACTCTAATATTAACCCTTTGCACTCCGCTGTCCCCTCTCAGGGGACATTGCAGTTTATTAGTGATTACGGGGAATTGAGTTAACTCAACGCACATTTCGCAAAGTAGCGTCGAGTAGCTGGTAGCCAATGTCCAGAATGGTTCGGAGTGCAAAGGGTTAAAAATTTTCATGTTCATGTCCATGTCTGCTTACATTTATTAGCAGGATTTGGATTATTTTAATTCACCATGGGCCGCCCTAGATTTTCCCTCGAATGTTGTTTAAAGCTTTTCTTACAGATGCTGCTGGAACAGTATACCATGACCTAATTTATTAGCCCATCCCCACTCATCTATAACTAGTTACGCGATCCTTTGCTAAACTCGGGTAATTTAGCCTAATTCCCTGCCCTCCCATCCAACTGTACAGGTGGGCCTGCATGGGGCTACCTTACCTGTGATGTTGAACGGCCATGCTCCAAGGACTGTTCAGGTCTCGGGGTATTGCAGCCCCATGGTCACTTATTTTGGGTGTGGAAGGCTCAGGAGGATGACCAGCAATTCTCTTCCAAGAGGAAAGGACAGGAGGCCTTCAGTTGTGCTTGTCAAATCTTAGAACTCTGAAAACCCTGAAGTTCAGCAAGCACTTCAATGGAAGTTCAAAATGATTCACTGCCCGGATGGTGCTGTTCAAACTGTGCATACACATTTTGAACAAAACGGCTAAAACAGTCCTTGAACTCCCTCTTCTTCGTTCTGTCCCCATTTCGTTGTCCTCGGCACTGAATGCTGGTGCTCTTGTCACAGGAAGAACAAGAACAAACCTAGTTTCCTTTTCATTTGTTTCCCATTCTGAAGTGCTGATCCTCTCTGGAGTCTATGGTAAGCAATTGTGGTCATCAGTAGTATCTTTGGTTTTAAAGTAATGTTTGTACATGTCCAACAGCAGCCAGCATGTCTGTCTGTCTTGTTCTGAGGTGTGTGGCTCTGATTTTTGGCCTTCATGCATCCATTACCGTGTGGTGGGGTAAGACATCCTACAGTAGCCTCTGTTGAATTTATCTCTTGAATAAACTTGTTTCTGGTTAACTGTGTTGATGAAATTGGTTAGCAGCCCTCATTAACACTTCAAAGAGTCAGCTGGCAGATTAGAAACAAATGCCTGATTAAGACAAGTCAAGTTTCAGGGGGGCTGGAATACGGCAGGGAAAGGTCAGCTGACTCCCCTTTCCTGACACTGGTGAAAAGGGTGCACTACATTTTTTTGAGTGGACATGAGGGGGAGTGAGATCCTGCCTTGAGTTTGCCCTGCACCACCCCCTGGGAGTCCTCAGTTAAAGAGCTGATTGTTCTGGTGGAAGTCAAAGTGGCACATTTATAACTGAAAACAACATTTTTTTCTTTTGAGGTAAGTCTGTAGTGGTGAGATCAGCAATTCCAGAGAAAAGCCCTCATCCAACACACTATTAAATGAGTGTCTAATAGGAATAAACTCAATAGAAAGTTACTCAAACAGGTCTACACTGAGTGGCCAGATTATTATGATCTCTGAACACATAATCTGGCCACTCAATATATTTGTATCTCAAATGAGTACCAAAAGTATTCTAGACTTTTGCTGGAGATCAACCACCTATTTGCCCTGAACTTTCTATCTGCCAGTGCAAAGGGGAAAACTGATCAGGTGCATGTTTTATAGTATCTTTGATATCAAATAAATGAGGTAAGAAATCATAATAATCTGGCCATTCAGTGTATATCAAAAGTAAATGCGAGAGTCTAGGGCAGTGTTTCCCAACCTTCTCTCATGATGAGAATCACCTGGTGGAGTTGTTAAAACACAGATTCCTGAATCCCAACTAAGAAGTGCTAAACTAGAATTTTTGAGAACATATAGGTAAAATTGCATACCTAACTTAGTGCTCTGTATATAAAATCTGTCTTAGAGCACTAGTTAAGTATACAATTTTACCTATATGTTCCCAAAAATTCTAGTTTAGCACTTCTTAGTTGGGATTCAGGAATCTGTTTTAACAACTCCACCAGGTGATTCTCATCATGAGAGAAGGTTGGGAAACACTGGTATAGGGTAACGTAATGAGGAGTACAACATAAAATCGACACTCACCTGCAATGAATGAGGACAGACTAGAGACTCAAAAGCCACACTGGGCTTATGGGTGAAATATCTAAATGCAGGCATTTAAAGTCAAACTGGAGAACTGGGGGCCCAGTGGAATGGTGGAAATTTCCATGGAAAGTTCCTCAGAGAAGCATGTTTCACTGGTTGAAGGAGGTCTAGTTCTTATGCAAAATGTAAGGGTTTTTAAAAGTTAGGAACTTCAGCATCACTTTCAGTTTCTAAGAGTAAACAACCAAATCACAGCCAGATGTTTAATATGACCCCAAGAGGTTCAGAACTCAGCAGAGCAGAGGAATAAAAATCAAAGGAAAACGTGCCCACTGCTGAACCAAAGAGGGGGCCAGCATTAAGCAAGCTCTTCATGCTGCCACCATCCATCTCACTAATATAAAACAGTAAAATCCGTTTTAGCGACTAGGACAGAAGGTGCCACAACAATTTGCAAATCTGGTGTGAAAGAACAGCTTGGGGGGGGGGGGGGGAAGTGCAATTTTCACTGACTTTATAGACAAGTCCAAGTGTGGCTATTTTCATAGTGTGTCTTCACATGTGCGTCCGTTGTGCTGGGCACAGGACAGACCTCTCAGCAAACAGGAACGGGTTACATCAGAAAGCACTCTGGGCAGGGCAGAGGGATGGGTGGTAGTGTGGCTCACTCAGAGGCTGTATATCAATCTCTGCTCAGTTTAGAAGATAGGAAATTACTAGCAAAAAGCCTTTTTTTTTTTCTTTTTTCTTTTTTCAATTTATAACATAAAATTTATAGTCTAATCTGGAAAGGAATGGCTAGAAATAAGTTTGGGCCCACCAGCACTCACCAAATAAGAGAGCCAGTAATCACCAAACCCTATTTATTTAAATAACATTAATTACAGTCTTTCCTCGTGCATGTCCTCTTTCCACCTTCAGAAAGGCTTCTGGAACTTCAGAAAAAGGGAAGGTTTTTTCAATAACTGGCTGAATCTGTAAAACACAAGAAGAGGTGACTGATGGGTAGGAGCAGCGACATCCATCAAGGCAGTAACGTCTGTAATCAGTCTCTTCACGGAGGCAGACCAGTCTGTGCCTCTGGGTAGGAGCTCTCTGCCAGGCCAGGCCTGTGACTGCTGCCCTGTTCCCATCTGCTCCTCTCTGCGAGGTAGCCCAGCTGCATCATCACTCCACCTAACTTCTGCTCGGCTGGTCATGTCCCTCTTCTACTCAGAACCCTTCAACAGCCCCCAAAACTTCACTCAAAGGCCACCACCACCCAAACCTCAGCCCTCATGCAGACTCACACTTCACCAGAATGGTCTGTGTGTCATTGTCTGTCATGGTGAGTCTGTGCCTCTCTGTGTTCTACCACCCTTCCCGCCCAGGCCCCTCCCTTCCCTTCCTGACCTCCCAGTTTGCAGTGTTCTCTCAACTGCTACAGGACCCATGAAGCCCTCTTTATGGACTGCTTGTTATAGCTCACCTACCTAGTTGGAAAATACCAAAGAGGGTACCCGAAGCTTCTTGCTGTAGGTATCCCTGTGGCCCCTCACAGGCAGTGCACTGAATGAAGGCAGATTTTTTTGTTTTAATTTGTTAACTGTTTGGCATATTTACTCGACCAGAGCTGAGAGTATCTGTGGTGTAGGCCACCTCTTTTGTATCCTCCACAACACCCAGAACAATGCTAGGCATGTGACAGGAGCTTTATATATCTATGACAAAGAGGCAAGACTATACAGTGGGATAGACACTCTTTTCAATAAATGGTATTGGAAAAACTGGGCAGACACATAAAAATGTAACTAGTCCACTTTCTCACATCATATATACGAATAAACTAAAACTGGATTAAAATAAGACCAAAAACCATGAAATGCCTAGAAAAAAAACGAAGGCAGTAAACTGACGTTGCTCAAAACAACATTTTTTTTGGCTATATCTCCTAGGGCAGTGGTCAGCAAACTGTGGCTCATGAGCCACATGCAAATCTCGAGCCTCGGTTTGCTGCTCTGTTGACTAATGAGTTTGCTGACCGTTGGGATAAGGGCTTAATCACAAGGAACAACAACAGCCAGTAATTATTGAATCAATAGTCTAGGTCAGTGGTCAGCAAACTCATTAGTCAACAGAGCAGCAAACCAAGCGAAGGAAACCAACAAAATAAAAAGACAACTTACTGAATGTGAGAAGATATTCACCAATGATACATCTGAAAAGGGCTAATTATTCAAGTATACAAGGAACACATACAATTCAATGGCCAAAAACAATCTGATTAAAAAATAGGCAGAGGACCAAATAGACATTTCTCCAAAGAGGGCATATAGTGGCCAATAGACATATAAAAAGATGCTCGATGTCAATAATTATCAAGGAAATACAAATTAAAGCCACAATTATATATCACCTCACACCTGTGCCTATCATCAATAAATCAACAAACAACAAGTATTCACTGCAGCATTATTAGATATGGAAACAACGTAAGTGTCCATCAATAGACAACTGCCTAAAGAAGATGCAGTACATATATACAATGGAATATTACTCAACTGTAAAAAAGAATGAAATCTTGCCACTTGTGACAACATGGATGGACCTATAGGTAGTATTATACTGTGAAATAAATCAGACAGAGAAAGACAAATACCATACAACTTGCTTATGTATGGAATCAAAAAAGAAATGAATAAAACAGAAACAAACTCACAGATACAGAGAACAAAACTGATGGTCACCAGATGGAGTTGAGAGGCTGAGAAGGGGGGTTGAGAGACTAGGTGAAAAGGGGACGGGATTAAAATGCCCGTTAAAAAAAAGTTACAGAATATAGCCCTAACCGGTTTGTCTCAGTGGATAAAGTGTCACCTGCGGACTCAAGGGTCACAGGTTCAATTCCAGTCAAGGGCATGTACCTAGGTTGTGGCCACATACCCGGTGGGGAGTGTGCTGGAGACAGCTGACCCAGGTTTTTCTCTCATCAATGTTTCTAACTATCTCTCTCACTTTCTCTTTGTAAAAAAAATCAATAAAATATATATTTTTAAAAAGTTACAAAATATAAAGTAGGGAATCCTATATAATAAAAGCTTAATATGCTAAGTATCCAGTTATCTAGTTGTCTGTTCAACTAATCAAAGTGTAATACACTAATGATATGCTAAGGCTGCTCAACTGCTCACTATGACATGCACTGACCACCAGGGGGCACATGCTCCTAGGTTAGCTTTCTGCTAGGGTCCAACCAATCAGGACTAAGCGAGAAGGACCAGACATGCCCTGGAGCCCTCCCATGGTCCCTTCCTGGCTGGCCAACCTCCTGTGTTCCTCCCCAGCCCTGATCGTGCACTAATTGGGGTCCTTCAGCCTTGCCTTCGCCCTCTCCCAATGCTGGCTGAGGAACCCTCCCTCCCAAGTCCATGAATTTCATGCACCAGGCCTCTAGTTTAGTCAATAATACTGGTGTAACTATGTATGGTGTTACATGGGTACTAGAAATAGCAGGGTGATGATTTTCTAAGTTATATAAATGTCTAACTACTATGCTGTACATCTGAAATGAATATAATGTATATCACCTATAATTGAAAAATAAATATTTTTAAAATGAATACAGAAAAATAAGACATGGTTAATAATAATAAAAAAAATTTGTTTTTACTATCAATTAGGTGAAAACCAATCAGATAACTGGAAAGTAAGAGTCGTATGTGGGCAAATTGGGCCTGAGGGGAACTCGCTAAGGGCTAGAACTGCCCTGGGAGACTTGGTTGGATAGCAAAGATGTTGGTCAGCCTCAGCCATTCACAAATGCCTGAATGTTATTTTTACCACACGGTTCAATGGTACTACCAAACACCTCCTTCAGAAACTAGGTCTCAGGTAGCACCCTCTCCCATGCTGAGCTCTTCCTTTTCAAAGCTTCAAGCAAAGTCAATAACTGACACAGTGGACCACTTCCTGTACCTCCACGGGATAAATTGTCAAAAGGCATAAACCAACACATATGTTTTCTGACACTTTTCCTTTTACAAAAGGAAGAAGTTATGTAGTGTTCGGATGCACCTTTCCTTGTGTGAATTTCCCAGCTCAGCCACCTGAAGAGCGCCTCAGATTCCAAATGTTCCCTTCTCCAAAGAGTTGGAAATTCTTCTGTACATGCAAATCACAATAAGCTCATGATAAAAGCAACAGCTGATACGTGTTGTCCTCTCTGCGACAAGTGCCCTTCTAAGTGCTCTATATAGTTTACCTCATTTAATCCCTATATTCACCTTACAAGGTAGGTACTATTCCCACTTTACAGATGAAGAAATGAAGGCTCAGAGTTAAGTAAGTTGCCCATCACATAACTGCCAAGTGGTAAGGCAGAATTCTATCTACTACCAGAGTCTGTGCTCTCACAACTGCTCACTGAGCATTTCATATAATGTCAGCTGCTTTCTGCAGCTCCTTCTAAAATGTTAAGGTGGGGAAAGGTAGCCATGGATTATAACCACTTACCTGTATTTTGGCTGGCCTGCCTCATGCTATGGGACCATGCCAGCTGCACAAGTGGTCCCTAAATCCTGTGTCCACGCCACTGGGACAGCAGACGTGTGGTACATATGCCAACCCTCCCATCAGTACCATGGAGAACATTCTTGATCAGTAAGTAATCATGGTCCTCCCAGCAAGCTGAGCATGACTTTCAGAATTCAGCATTGCAGCCACTATGAACAGATCTGAGCCGGCTTGTCAGAAGAAACCTATTTGCTTTCTCTGCTAAAAGGAATGGAATGCACTAATGTTGTGTCTTGCAGGTCCCACATGAAACCTCCTAACCTTCCAATCTCTCTAAAGCTCCTGGGATATTGTTTTCTGGATGCTGATTACCTGAAAAGGAATCACCTGAATGCATGCTTAAAATGCAGAGTCCTTGGCCTCCTGTTAGAACTAAATCAGAATCTCTAGGGATGAGGTGGAGACAATTCATTTGAAATAAGCTTCCCAGGTATATTTCTGCACAGTAGCAGCCTTTTGCTCCATTCTTAGGGTCCCTGGCTCATATCATACACATATTTATTCATTCCACAAAGACCGACTGTCTTCTAAGCGCTAGGCACTAATCCAAAGCCGGAACACAAAACAGGCACCTGTGACAAATTAAGAAAGAAAGGAGGCAGTGACACAGACTCGTCCCCGAGCATTGAACACCAGGCACAGAACAAGGCAGCAAGCGTGGCCCCAGAGGCCCCAGAGGCCACTGAATTCACTGCTCCGCTCCAGCACGAGCTGCCTCGGGTCATCCCGCTCTGGTCACTTTAGACTCTGACGGGAGACCGGGTCTGGAACTGATGACACAGGCCGCCAGCAGCGACTGCACACTTTAATCGGGCTGGTCAGGCCTATTGTAGCAGATAACCCAGGAAGGCTGACTGTGGCATAATGAGTCATTCACCTCTTCCCAAAAGAGACAATAAAAAGAGGCTCTTGATTAACAGGCTGGCGAATGCCAATGTTGGCCGAATATGCGACAGCAAGGAGATTAAATAATGAGGTAGTGTCTGTGAACAGCTTTGCTTCAGACCAACAATGCTCGTTTGTTATGGACAAAGGGATCAGAGTAAAAACCCAGAGGGGAAAGAAAGGTGACCCGCAGTGAGGTGGAGACGGTTATGTGATGACACTGCTATAGTCCACTCAGCACAGGGAGCCTGTTATAAAGCGAGTGGGCTCAACACCACACCTCCACTGCGGACGGGCTCACAGCTGACCAGGGGGCAGATGCCATGGCAGCAGCACTCATTCCAGTCTTGGCCCCAAACTCGGGGTCTCCTGATGGTGCCTTCCCTTCCTTAAACACAGGCTGTAGAAAGCCAGGCCCCAGGGGTTGGCACTCGTCTGACATCCCTCCTATGAGGAGTTAGGGACAGTGGGAACCTCAGCCTCCCTTGTTCCTCCAAGGCATACTGATGCTTCTAACCTTGGAGCAAAACCCTGTCTGCCCCTTGAGGGAAAGAGGCAAGAAAAGCCCGCTCACCACAAAGCACAGGAAAGCTGGTGGTGCAAGGACATCATCCAGACAGGCACAGCAGAAGGTTTTCCCTCAATTCCCATTTTCCCAGTGAGCACTACAGAACAGGAGAGCTTAAAAGGCACCCCAATACTAAGCGAGCCTACTTGAGAGGTGGGAAACTGAACCGCAAGTGGTTAAGTGCAAGGTCAGAGCGTCAGCAGAGGAGACACATTCAGGACAGCATGTGTGAGTGCCTGTGGGGAGGGAAGCTCGGGGCAGTCTGCTCAGCTGTCCTCCAGACCTTGCCTCAGCCTCCACTGCACATGGAAACCGAAGATCTC